ATCGGTTCGTCACTCATCCGCACCCACGGTACCCACCGCATATGCAAGCGCCATGTCCGCAGCATCCTGGGCCCAGCCTACGTGTCCAATCCGTCCGGAACGACTTGGAAATCTGGTGAAACACAGGTGCGCGAGCTGCCCTGCCGACACATCTTCCATCCCGATTGCATTGACACCTTTCTCCTCAACAACTCGTCTCTATGTCCCATGTGCAAGCAAAGCGCACTGCCCACAGGCGATTGCCCTGTAAAGATCACCAACGTCATGGTACGTCGGGAACGCCACATCAACCAAGTGCGTGCACGCACTGCCAACGGCCAAGCCAATGCTGCCTCCCCTTCAAACACTTCGACCGATCCTTCGGGGGATGCACATCCCTCGCTGGGTAGGCGAATAGGAGGTGCGATCACAGGTCGGCGAATTTTCAGCGCCCCGGAGCGAACCACAAGGCCATCTGATATTGAGATGGCACACACGGCAGGTGCAACTGTCGCCGGTGCACCTGAAGTACCCTCTCAAGCCACTGGTGCTCCCCCTAATACATCTTCAGTGGCGGCTCCCACCCAACACTGTACGCCCACCCAAAATCGAAGAGAATGGGCACGGCAAAGAGCGCTGGCAATGCTGGGTACTCGTCATGCTGCGATTGCAACAAACGACGCCGAAGAGGAAGATAGTGGTCCCCGCTGGCGGCGAGGACTTCGTAAAATCTTCCCTGGTTTCCGCTAAAGTTTCCTTTTGTTTATACACCAGTGATACCGACATCGTAGCAAGCGACATAGCATTTAGAGGCGTTTTCCATTTAGTTTTTAATCTGTAGGGACACTGCATTTTAGGCATATCATAACCAGTCCTTTTTTGTATATCATAAGCAATTTCGAGGAGGCGTACAATGTTTGTCTTGAGTTTGGTTGGAAGTCGTGGATTCACAAAGGACAATTGTTATTATGCTCAACGGAGCTCAATTCTCCAACCCCAATGGGTCCAAAACTTCCTCTCAACATGATGCACGACAGATGAACTTGGATTCAGTCTTCGGTCCGGGAAATAGAAAGAGAAGACTTTTGAACTGCTGTACACACACATACACACACACACGGGAACCCCTTCGCAACTATCTAACATTTCCTCCATTGCACATACAATGTCGAACTCACCTTCGCACTCTCCCTCGTCTGCGCCAAAACCCCACTCCCAGCCCCTCCCAACGGACTCAATGCAACCTCTGAATTCACATTGAGCGCCGCCTCGCCTCCACAAGCCGACCACACACTGACATCCACCTGATCTTTCTTTTCATACCGGCCTCGAAACGGACCGGGGATATTCAATGTCGTAGACGTCTGGGCCGTATTGCCGGAGAGATAATAGGTTGATTTCACGACGCCCGTTATGCCGGCGTCGAGGTCGCCGTAGCCGCTGTGGTCTGCGCTCAGGAGTGAAAAAGAGTAGCCTGGGGTGAAGGAGAGGGCGAGGTTGAGTTGGCAGTTTTTGCGCGAAAGCGCTGCATCGGTCGAGGGACCGGTTTTGGCGGTGAAAGCAGGGGTAAAATCTGCAATAGTTCAAGTTAGGGATGACAGCGGTGTTGTGCTTGTTGGAGGAAGTATTGGGGTGTAGAGAGGGCCTGTACTGTGGCCGTGCATGGGGGGCTACTACATACAGATGGGAAGGATTCTGCTGTCGGTCCAGCTTACTTCAATGCTACCTTGAGGACAACCCGAGCCTCCTGAGATGACATTTGTAATTTTAAAGGCTGGTGGTGCAATATTTGTGGGTGATGCTAGGGTAATGGCTGCGAGAGCGAGTGTGGGCAGAGTGTATTTCATTATTAGCAATGAAGTAATATGTTTCTAGATGGATATGTTTGTAGATGGAGCTTTAGCAATAGGGTAAGGTAATGAAATGATTGAGTCGTGCACTGCTATCGCATTTATCGGCCAATGATGGAGACTATGTTCTGTCTCTCGTATGGGAGAGGTTGAAGAGTCCTTTATATGGAAAGGATTCTCTCTTCGCAAGCGAGCACACGGTCTTTACAACACCATGCTTTTTACACTACGAAAATATATTTGACCCGGTGTTACGGCCCGCATATAGGCAATTTTCGTGAACATTGGCCAAAGATTACGTGCTCACTCGCCTGTCTAGACCTGGTCGTCGCCCCTTCTATCGCTAGCCCAGAGATGGCTACAGACCTGATATAGTTGCCACGGTCCCACTATGCAACCCTTCTGCTGATATTGTTGCTAACATATGTATACAGAGACTTATCCGTGAAGCGAGCATAGCCGTTAACGAAATGTGCTCTAGGGGCTCCTCGGAATCTAGACCACGGGAGACCCTGGGGTAACCGAGTATGAATGCAAGGCAACAATCCAAGAATAAGCCTCCCGGGGGAGGGGCAAGGCACAGTGTGACGAGGAGTATGGCGGGACTTCTTGTGACGGGAAAGTTGTATATATTATATTGGAAGACCTAGGTCGAGCTCGCCAAAACCAAAGGCTGCGGTTGAATTGTCAACTTGGCTTTGTCTATTGCTCTTTTGGGAAGCTCGAATTCTTTAGCGAGCGAGTAGGATCATTAACCATTTTTTGGTGCGAAATTACCAGCCCAGTTTTGCAAGGTTGCTATTGATGTTCGTATCGGTGATTACCGGTTATATCGATGTGGAGTCAATGGTTCTTGTTCGAAGCGAGAGCTGCCAATACCTAGCCGTTGTTGCGAAGTTGAAGTTTCCTCTTTGCGATCTGAAGAGCCCATCACCGTCAATTCTTCACGGAGAAGCACAATTCTGTTTGAGATCCGCACTCACCTAACGTATTTCTTATCGATCCGAAGTAGTTATGATGAACGATTGACGATCCTGAGCAGTTCTCGCTTAGGCTATTGTATAGGAGCCAAAACCTCATGTATAAATCTGACCGCAACTTATCTTCATCAAAAAAAATTCGCGACGTGGAAGAGTACATCGGGCAGAATCACCATCTTTCCAAGAAATGGACTCTTTTTATGAGCAAGAGCTAAGATGTTAGTATGTCAACTGCATTACATGGCAGGCTAGCTTGTCTCAGGATCATCATAATCTAGTATTGTCGTGCAGAAGGATTGTCATTCAGTCGCGTGTACTGTCAAGATCCGTCACCACCTTATGGGTGGACGTCCATTGGGCTCTAAACTATTCTTGCTTCGGAGGATACTGCGTGTCCGCTGTCTCGTGCGAGGCACTTGAGCTCACATGTGAAAGCTTTGCATTCACACCAGCAATTGCTGACTCTACGGCAGCAGGCACATCAATGTGGAAGAACGGTCTGTTTTGACCATGTACAGTGGTAACTTTGCCAGGCACTAGTCCATTAGAGCCTTGAACCTTGTCTTGCGCTTCTGGGTCGTGAATTTTGCTTGTGATGGTATCCAGTGGCGTATAGCTGTACACCGGGTTCCAATGTGCGCGAGAGGCGAAGCGTGCGCGGTCAAGGTAACCAAAACCCGCCGTGGTCAAAGCTCGTTTAGTCCACCTACTGTTTATAGAAGCGAAATGCCACTCTACAGTATCGGGGGCAGCGTAGCGATCCAGTTGCGCGCGCACGTCAATAAGGCCCTGAATAGACGTGACGTCAACGTTGTTGACGGCGCTGAAGTCCAAGATGATGGCGCGGAGGATGGGGCGATGATCATCAGCGTTCACCTGTCGTCCGCGTCTTGGGCCAGGGTCGTTCCAAGGGCGATCTCCGAGCCTCTCATAACGGTCGAGAATTGTGGGACGTGAAATGGTCTGGGCATGATGAACGAGCTCATCCATGTAGCCTTGTTGATTTAGATAGGAGAACCCTTCCGTGAATCTGGTAAACATTTAGCGATTTTCCACTGTTCTTCGAGTCTAAACATACCTGTAGATCAAGATGCCAGGGTACGGAGTTTCGACATCAACAAGAGGATTCGTCCCATCCTGGCGACTAACAGGAACATACGCCTCCCGGACTGATGTCTCAAGGGCGACAACACCCTGGATATTCTCCTTATGTGCGGCGATTGATTCAGGGGTAGAACAAAAGACCCTAACCCGGCCGAGAACGACGCCATGAGTGAATAGCTGACGCCATAAAAGCAACGCGAAACTTGCCGCCACCGTCGCGTATATACCGTTTTCGATGTTGGTGAAGATTGTAATCAGAACACCAGCGAAGAAAATGACAACCTCCAGTGGACTGGTCTCCCAAAACTGAAAAACCACGTTTGGAGGGGTGATGAGATCTCCCACAGCATGTATGATGATCGCTGCGAGCGTAGCCGATGGAATGTAGAAGAATACTGCGGTCAAGGCATAGAGAGCGAGGAGAACGATAACTGCTGTGAAAATTCCTGCGAGTGGTGTCCGAACACCAGCTTTCGATTTAATAGCGGTCCGGGAGAAGGAACCAGTCGCTGGGTAGGCGCCGAGGAAGGGACCAATGACATTAGTAAAGCCAACAGCGACAAGTTCCTGGCTAGGGTTGATAACATAGTTATTAATACGGCCGAAAGATTTCGAGATGGCGATGTGTTCTAGGATCAGGACGATGATGGTAACGGGTAGATCGGGGGCAATTGCCGAGAGGAGCTCGGTGTTCATCTTAGGCGCGCCCGCATGCTGAAAGCCTCGTGGAACGCGTCCGAGAATCTTGAAGCGTGCATTTTTGAGGTCATTATTAGCATCATGTAGACCTTTGATATCTTTATTGGCGAGCCAGCTGATCAAAATGTAAAGCAGAATGACAAAGGCCATGCGGAGTGTACTAACCTGGAATGAGGGTCAGACGGATATGCTTTGGAAGAATGAATTTTGTCGAATTGTCTAACTTACAAAGAACCATAGCTTCTTCCTCGAGGGCTGCTTCCTCGACATGAAGTTACAGAATATGCGAATTGCGTAAAGTAGAAACAAGGCACTGAGACCCATGGCCGCGTCAAGCTTGGTCCGCGGTAGACCCTTGAGTGAGTCGATAATGACTCTGTATGTCGCTCCACGGTTATTGACACCGGAAATTCCCATTAGGGCAGGAACCTGGCCCGCACCAATACTGATGGCAGCGCCTGTCATGAAGGAGGTGATAGCGACCAGAGGGATCAGTTCTACAATCCGTCCCAGCCGTGTGAGGCCGATGAAGAGAAGGACTGCACCAGCAATAACGGAAAGAGCTCTGGCTATATCTACAGCTTCCAGCTCAGGCTTGGTTTCCTGGATCTTGATGATGATGTTACCGACAATAGTGCTCATGACAGCAACTGTGCCGATGGTGATATCTTTGGATGTAGCGAATGCCCAGTATAAAATGAAACCCACGAAGCTGGTGTACAAGCCATATTCCGGAGGTAGCTTGGCAAGCAATGCATATGCCATTCCCTGGGGAATGACTACAAATCCCACTGTGACTCCCGCAACCACATCGCCGAAGAGCCAGGTCAAGTTGTAGTGAAATATCCAGTCCCAAAACGGGAATAGACTTCGAATGTAGAGCTTTGTAGCATGGACGGACGGCTTGAACTGGGACAACCACTCGGAGGCTGTTGGTTCGGGTTCAAGGTAGGTCTCAACCGATGAGACAGAAATTCCACCTGAGACGTCGGGTTCTCTGCGGTAGTCAAGGTCAATACCGAGTACCTTGGCTGCTCTGCGCCCAGGGGCCGCCATGGTGACGAGATTGCTCAGCAATAGCTTTTTCTTTGACCTTGGAATGAAACGTGGGATCTGGGGAATGCGAGAACGACCGAGGTACTTGGTAGAATGATGTATCGAGACCACGGTACGGTTGTTCTTCGGAGAAAATAACAAAATGTGCTCAAATGCAGGGAGCTGGTGGTAGGTGGCAGGTGATTCTTAGCATCTAGGAAGGCATGTCGACAGCTACGACTTATACCAAAGTGGATGGGAAAAGCCCATGGACACAAGTCGATGGCGAAGTCCGCCATCAGTCAACAGACAGCTTAGCTTGCAAGGTTCCCAGACCACGTCGGAAAGCAGCCACAAGCGCTCTGGTCTGGCTAGGTTACAAGATATCGGCCGCCGTGCTCAAGCTGGAGGTGGGATGGCTCTCTTGGCGTGGGTAGATCGTGGCAGTGAGAAGATTTGGAGCAAACGGAACACGGATGCTGCCGCTGCAGGATGGTAAGGCCAGATCATGCGGCGAAGGATGAAACCACAGACTTGGGCTGAGCTTTTGCAGTCTAGGCTGGACAATGGCTTGCAAAAGGGGCTGATGGATGCTTGAGATTGCCCAGTGTCGTCAATGGGTTGGCTCCGTGCATGGCACGTTTGGTTTTGTTTGGTGGTTGAAGGGATGACTAGGCACAGTAGACAAAGCCATGGGGACCGCGCAAAGCCAGGATGCTGGTAGACGACATTTCTAGTGACTTATCAAAGAGGCAGTTAGCTAGTACATCAGAGTTAGAAGAAGTGCCAGCTGAGGTTTGGCGGCCCACTGGTAAGCGTTTCGCGTCAACGATCGCAATTGTGCCATGCTATTGCGACATCGTCCATCCACCTCCAGGCCTAGGCGGAACTTGGCGGCCCTCACGGCCGTCTGACGCGCCTAACCTAGTTGTGCTTAGCCCCGCTCCTCCGCATATGCACCACATGCCACAAAACAACCTCTTGCTTATCTTGACTGTACACTTGCTTGTTCCAGTCCTTGATCATCGAGATACACCTGAACACACCAGCAATGACAAATCCTCAAGAGTTGGAATGAATGACAAGTGGCTGGATGCAACCTTGGTTCGTCAAACCATGCCGTCGTTCTCACTTCGGACACCACTGATGCCTCTCACTGCTAGCACTGAGTGAAAGCCTTTTAGTGGCCATCAAATGGCATGAAATGGGAAGAATTCGGACTGCAGGTAGTTCTTTACGATACCATCAGACCGTTGTTTTTACTGGACTCCTAGGCCTTGGCTTCAGCCAATGCATGATTCCTGCTACTACTACTACTACCACCACCACCGCCACCACTACCATCACCTCCACAAATCAGGCTGAGACAAAAGCCCTCAACATGCCCACATGTCCTATTCTGTTCTTCCGGCTGATGTTGCCACTTGTACCATTCACCGCAGCAGCACTTCCGCGTTGAACTCAGTGGTCACACCCGTCGCCGGCGGCTTACCCAAGTTATCACTCATGGGACGGACAACATCGCAACGAAGCGACTGTTCAGGCGACATGCTTTCCATCCTGGTGTTGTTGGTCTGGATGAACAAACGCTCGCGTGAATCAATCCCGCGGAAAGGCGACCATTCCACTGCGCCACTCAGGCGATCGACATTGGGATCCAAATTTCGAATGAAGCTTGTCCAGTAGGATCGAACCATCGAGATGATGGGTCTGTTGGTAGTGAAGTAGCTTGGAGGCTCGCTGCCGTCGGTGCGGTTGGTACCCCAGAAAGCGTATACATTCACCGTGTGCCAGGCACCATAGCCTTCGGCCTCGTCCTCAGGATCCAGCACGGTGTACTTGTAATTGTAGGTAGGTACTCCGTCGCGGGCAAGGTAGGTCTGGAGATTACGGGTGATGCAATGCGTAGCGATGTTGCCAATCGCATTGGCCCCATGGCGCCAAAAGCGACCCTTGCCTGGAAAAGAAGGCTGTGGTGGCTTGATGAACAGATCATTGAGAGTGGCAATCGAAGCGTTACTGAGACTTGGGTCCTTGTCGGCAACCCACTTGAGTGCCTCTTCCGCGGTAGCCAACGTCTCTGGAGCATTGAATTTTGTCCCTTCCTCGGCGCATGATCCCATTATGGTCGGTACTTTCGTGTATTTGCCTTGTTCGAAGAGGTTGACGAGAGAGTCTGTGTACAAATCCCCTTCAATATTGGGACTGAACCAGCAATTTGCAGAGCGAATGGCCGACTCATTCAACGCGCGCAGACAGGCGAGGCTATCTGGAGCGCCGCCGCATCCCTTCTCTTCGACCAGACACTTGTACTGTTCTTCACCTTGCTCCGGAGTGCGCATAGTAACCCACCCTCCAGATTCCATGATTCCGCCCGCGAACAGCTTCTTGCCTGTATTGGCAGCCAGCATGAGGGATACAGAAGTACCACCAGCACTGACTCCATCAAGAACAACCCGGTTTGGATCGCCGCCGAATTGAATGATGTGCTCTTGCACCCACTCGAGGACCTTGATCTGGTCTCGGAGCCCAGCGTTGACATCTCCGCCTCCCTTTTTGACTTCGGCACTGCTCAAGAAGCCGTACATGCCAACACGATGGCTGAATTGAACGAATACGACCTGGCCATCGGCTACGATCTCGGTAGGATCCCAATTAGCACTTGATTGGGACGAGAACCCTCCCCCCTGAAAAAAGACAACCACTGGCAATTTTGAGTCGACGGTTGCCTTGGTAGGTGCGTATACGCTCAGGTACAGACAATCCTCCGCAATATGAAATCTCTTGTTTGGCTTCGCGGTGAAATCGTCAGGTGATCGAGGGGGGCAAGTGGCGCCATGTTTGGTAGCATCGATTACTCCGGTCACCTCAGGATCCTGGGGTGCCGCAAATCTCAGGTTTCCAACAGGAGGTTTGCCATACTGAATGCCTTTCCAGGCCGAAACTTCAAGTGCTGGGTCGACGACGGCACCACGATACTGAGCATAGCCAACATCAACTAGAGTGTCCACTGCTCGTACGATCGAGGCAAAGGCTGTTGCCACTACGAGCGAGCGCCGAATGGTCCAAGCCAGTTTCATCGGGAAGTGGAGCTGGAGGCAATCGATCAAGATTATGCGGTTCCACGCAACGTGGTTGTTGACACGCTAGGGCGGTTGGACAGGGAGATGGAGATGACACAGACTTGCAGCCAAGATTGGAAGAAGTGATTTCCCTGTACGCAGACGAAGGCGCTCAAGTTGATAGTATACGGTAGTTGGACTCAATGGTGGTTTTGGCTGCATCCTCGGCGCGCAGGATACACATATTTAAGTTGTCTATATTCTCGCAAAGTACCACCGTGGCATTGAAAGGACCGAGTACAGAACGAGTACGACGCGGATCGTTAGAAGGTGAAACAGACCAAACCGGTATGAATTATATACTCGTTTGTATTGCATTTGATGCGACTCCAGGACCCTGGGTATATAGCGATGGAGCGAATTAGCGAGGGTCTATATTCGGGCCGGCGAACCAGGCGCAAATTAAGGGTTTCAGGCGCTGCTATGCGGACTACGCTGCGGTTCGGTGAAGGTGTCACTCGTAGGATAGCTTCAAGTTATTTGGTAGTGCATGGTTCTCTAGCCATCTATATGTGGGCGGTACAGTGTGCAAGACGCGGGGTGAGAGACAGGCGTTGGAGCCTGAGGTTTTGTGCCCGGACGGCGGCTGTTGTCAAGCCACAGCCGCGGCTAAATCGAGACATGCGTGTAACACAGTGGAGACGGAGTATGGATTGTAGAGTAGGACGAATGTTGAGCTGTGGTGGAGGAGGGTGAAGTTTGAATAAGGTCAGAATGTGGGTCAAATGATTGGGCCAGGTTAGGATACCGAAACGGTGGTAGGGTAGACTCAAAGCGGGCTAGAGTGAGAGCTTGTATTGCGGTTTTACGTGTAATATACATGCTTACAGTACGTTACTACCAATTGATATCCGCCAACTGCGATCCATCCCCCCTCTCCCCCTCAGAGATAGGGGGGGAAAAGGGAAAAAGAAAAGGAATCACAATGGCAGGTCCCTATCTTCTAAACATGCCAATGGAATTGGTTTGGTGTAAGCAGGCCACGTTGCGGAGGTGGGATGGCGCCAGTTTGTCAGAGCAGTCGGGAGCCGTCAGACGGGCCAATTCGCCGCCCGCAACCACGCCGCACGAGTACATACCTACAATAGGTTCTAGAGTATGGTAGGTGACGATGCCAACTGCGCCGCTTCGGGTAGCTGATGGACATGACCCGATTGCGTTGTTGAGAGGCCAAGACCAAGGCGTGCCGACAGGCAGCACCTGTTGTCACTGCCCAGATGTACTGTAGGTTGTAGAGTACCGTTCAAGGAATCGTGTTAACGGTCAAGCGGCATGTTGTTATTCTTTGGTTACTACTTCTTTTTATCGTCTTCACGTTCTTGTTGTCGGTGTTGTTTGATTGCCATGTTGCTTTTTGTCGTAGTCGTCGATGTGGCATGGTGCCAGTTGGTCGCGCGGGTGCGGGAGACAGGGCCACCCAACTTGGGTATAGCGTGCTCCCAGCGCTTAACAGTTGACAGCCCACCACTGATTGGCCACGCGCAACAAGCAAGCTCTTTCGGCACCTGGTAGGAATACGGGTTACATGGAGAGTACAGAGAACAACAGGACATATGTGGCTTAGCAGCACACAAGTAGCTTACCTACATAACCGCGTCCTGACTACTCTACCCTTGCTTGTCCTGCTACTCGTTGCCTGTTGCGTTGCGAGCACTTTGTGTCCTGTGTGGTGTTGGCCAAGTCCAAAGTTCGCCAGCATTTACCTACTCTACTCTACTCTACACCTGCTTATGGCTGTGCCTGTCCCTGTCTCTTCACCGGTACACTACTATCAGTCCAGTCAGACTCAGATCTTTCCCTTCTCTTCTCTTCTTCACAACCTAAACACACAATCTTCTCCCACGCCTCTCCACGCCTCTTGAGCCTCGTTGCGGCAGCTGGCCTGCTATCAGCATCCCCCGCCCTCTCCTCCTGCCCACCCCCGCCCGCCTCCCTCGCCTCCCTCGTCGCCTTCGTCGCCAGCGCTTCCGTAACGTTTTTCACAGCGTTTCCCCTTCTTCTCCTCTGGCCCGCCTGATTCGCCGCGCCAGAGAGTGCTCCGTCCATCTGCCTTGTCTCTCCCCAACGCGCGGCCTGTGCACTTAGTGATAGACAGCCCCCATCGGACGGCCGAAACAGCCATCCATCCCATCCCATCCCATCGCAGGCAGGGGAGCCTCACCACGCGGCGCAGATCTGGGGCACAGACCTGGGCACAGCCGACGGTTGTCCTGTCTTGCCTTGCGACGCCGTACCCGCCCAACCGCCATTGTGAGGCATGGCCACAGCGACGCAGCTCATGCCGTCACCGAGCGGCCTCAAGTCCATGTCGGCCTTCAGCCCTTACACCGACTCGCCCAGCTCACCGGCCAACTTTGCGCACGTCTTCTCAAATAGGTGCGCCTGCCCTCATCGCCGTCCATGGTGCTGCATGCGTGCTAATGGATTCCCCAAGATCATCAAACACCTCGGACCATCTGCAGCCACCACCCAGTCCATATCCTGCCACGGTTGACCCTTCGCCCGTCGACAGCAATGGAACCAGTCAGACGGACCACACCGATGTAGGTACTGTCGGAGGCAGCCATGGCTTTGGTCGTCATGCAGCGCGGGGCTGACCCCACTCCAGATCGAAGATGATGCACAGGTCAATCACCTCGGTGAAGAGAGCATGACCAACATCAGATCCCCCGGCACCGACGACCTGATGAGCCCTGCGAGTCCAACAAGTCAGTCCAAGCCGCATCGTCTCAACACCACACTTCCAGTGCGCACACGCGCAGACTCGGACGATGCGCCTCCTTCCGTCATTCACGCGCCAGACAACTTCAAGCAGTTTGTATGTAGTCTACTCATCGCAGCTGCACTCGCTACAGAATGGGCGCTGACTCTCTCCATCAGAACCGGGTGGATATATCGACGTCGTCTTCGACTGCAAACACGTCCGACAACACGGCCGTCGTCTCGCCCTCGACACCGGAAGCCCATTCACTGCCCGACGATGACGAGAAGGTACGTGACTGGCATGAGCCATTCTCTCTTGGCTGCATCCCGCCGACTCACCATCTGTAGCACACGCAATCTGCATACACAACACCAATCGATACCGCAGTGACATCCATTGGCCCTCCCGATCGGAGCACACCACGTGCCCAAACGCGCCAGGATTATGAAGAAGACCAACGCCGCAGTGTCAGGAGGAGCATCAACCTTGCAGACATTGCTGAGCACGAAGACAATGCTCTCACCGAGTCATCGGCAAGCTCTGTGATAGATCAAGATGACAGTGTCTCCTCCCACTCTCAGAGCGCGGAGTCGGCATCCATTGGCACGCAAACCATGGGCGAAGCGCTGCATGGTATCAATGAGTCCGAAAGAGAAGTGGCTGCTCTACACGGCGCTCTCAATGAGTGCTGGATACTATGCAATTCGCTAGCCAAACTCAGCCAGCATCACAGACAACGCATGTTTCACTACTCTGGCGAACGTGCGGACATACAGGAACATGCTTGGAGGACGTGCTGGAAGCTATGCCAGAAGCTATACGAGAGTCGCGATGAGAACCCCTCTGCGCAGACTAGACCGGTCTTGGAACTCTGCCGGGATTTCTGTCAAGCACTCTTCGATGTGCGCCAACGTGGGGATGAAGCATCCGACTCGGTGCTCCGCGTGAGCTTTGAGTTGAACAATCATCTATACAATGTCCATGACCGTGCTTTACCCGAAACGTTCCGCGAACGCACGCTAGATTTCTACCTGACATTGTGCCATCGGCTCATGAAGCAGCGTACATCTCTTCCAGAGGAGACGGATTCATTGTTGCACGCCTGCTGGTCGCTTGCAGAAATGCTTTTCAGCCTCCGCCAGAACAGTCGCGACGGAAAAGGTGCGGATGAGGAGCTTCTCGGCTCTGCCATCCAGGCCTGCTGGGAACTGTGTGACCTGTTCCGGGAAGGGTGGACACAGGTACGACCCGAACGTGGAACCCCGCGCCCGACCCAGTACACCTTCTCTGGCGGTGGCAGTTCCGTGTCTCACTCCCACATGTCGTACTCGGATCGCTCGGGACGTTCTTCGAGCATGAACGAATCCTACCATTCTGCCATCCAGTCCAGAAGGCCCACGCCCATGCAACCAGAGACACCGACGACGATTTTTGATGACCGAGAAGAGTTTTCGCCCGCCGAAGAACCAAACGTACCCAATATTTTAGTGCTGGGCCCGGAGGCTGGCTTGACTCGCACCCATGACCGGTGGTCCTCTGCGTCTTCCAATCTCTCCACGTATTCTGATGCATCGGTGCATACGTCGTCGACAGCAACTGCAGGGCGGGAGGACCCGAATCTGATCCGGCTGAAAGGGCTGATCATCAAGGCGGCCATCAATACAGGATACAATCGTCAGATTCCACTTCCCGACTTCATTCGCGCTCTGCCCTCGAACAGTTTTGGGACAATCCCCTGGCAAAGCCAGTTGTTTGAGAGCTACCGAAAGCTCGTTCTGAGTGATCCGACCTTGCGGACCGCTCACGCTCAGCCTTTACGCAGGTTGACGGCACTAGAAATTGGCCGTTCTGTGCAATGGCTAGCTAGGAGTGAGCAGTTCAAGTGGTTACGCGAACTGTATCGGTTTGTTTTTGGAAATTACCCTGAAGACTCTAGCCAGCGTAACCTGATTATCAATGCATAGTGCGGCCTTGGGATGGCATACAGGCTTGTGATTTTTTCTTGTTTTTGGTCGGGTGGGATGCTCTGTCATGTTTTCTGCCATATACCCCCCCTTCCCCCTTGACGCTCATTTTCTGTGCGTTTGGATATTCTTTGGCCATGTTACCACAAACGGCACATTGGTTGAAATAATATTTCTAATTTGTGTACATGTATATATTTGTTGTATAAGCTAGGATCCATCTAAAGACACATGTGCATAGTAGAGTCATGCATCACAGACAGTATAATAGCTATAGATATGTAGTACACATACCTACTATATACACTCATGCCAGGAGGCGGCGGAAATAGCGGCGGTAACTTTAGGCCAGGTTCTCTCCGCGTGCCTCGGCTCCCACGCCTCACATGCCGCAAACATGAACCAGCAAGCAAGCATTCACACAACCACCCGATCACCTATCTTGAGAGCGGCACTAGCAACATCCACATAAATGTGCGCTGCGACATGACCAACTTGCACGAAAAGCATGTCCACGGCGTATAATGGCCGCTCAATCTACGCTTCGACCCACGCATGATCCGCTGCTCGCTCTCTACGACCGCTATGCCCGGCTCGTCAAGGCGCGCGTCCGGGGCGCATCCAAGACGGCGCAGCTCGTGTCAACCATCACGCTGCTGTTCACCATCATAGGCGCGGGCTATGGTGGAACAAGATGGTACAACAGGCGCCGTGCCGACAAAGAGACGGGACGGCGGCTGCTCAGGAGGAACAGTGGCCTCAGGAACAAGGACGGATCGCGCACCATCTACGTGCCCTATCGCGACTCCACGTCCAAAGTCACCATCAATCCTACCAAGCCGACGACGTTTGATGCACACAAACGACTCTTTCTGCACCCTCCGCGCGTCACTCGTATGGCCGACCCGAACAACCCGCAGGCACCACCGCCGGCGGCCACCAAGCCTGGCTTGAACCTGGCCTTCCTGCACCAATTCCTCTCGCTGCTGAACATCATGATCCCACGATGGAACAGCAAGGAGACGGGACTGCTGCTCAGCCACAGCGCCTTCCTGATGCTGCGCACTTATCTCTCGCTCGTCGTGGCCCGTCTGGACGGTGACATTGTCCGAGACTTGGTTGCCGGCAATGGCAAGGCCTTTCTGTGGGGCATTTGCAAGTGGCTTGGAGTGGGCACCTTCTCCTCGTACACCAATGCTATGATCAAGTTCCTGCAGAGCAAGGTCTCGATTGCCTTTCGCACACGGCTGACCCGCTACATTCACGACCTGTATCTCAACGATCACCTCAACTATTACAAGCTGCACAATCTGGATGGCGGGGTGGGGGTGGGTGCGGACCAGTACATCACCCAAGACCTGACGCTATTCTGTGCCAGTGCTGCGTCCTTGTATTCGAGTCTGGGCAAGCCTTTTGTTGACCTCTGTGTCTTCAACTACCAGCTCTACCGCTCCCTGGGCCCTCTAGCACTTACGGGCCTGCTGACCAATTATTTCCTCACCGCGACCATCTTGCGTCGACTTTCGCCACCTTTTGGCAAGCTCAAGGCAGTCGAGGGACGAAGAGAAGGCGAGTTCCGCGCACTGCACTCACGGCTCATTGCCAATGCTGAGGAAGTCGCCTTTTACGGCGGTGATCAGATGGAGAAGCACTTTCTGGAACGGGAATTCAAGAATCTGAAGCACTGGATGGAAAACATCTACAGTCTCAAGATCCGCTACAACATGCTGGAAGACTTTGTATTGAAATACTCCTGGTCTGCATTTGGCTACCTCGTCACATCGCTTCCCGTCTTCCTTCCAGCCTGGGGTGGTCTGGGTGGTGCGCCAGAACTGTCCGGGGGTGAGAAGACACACCGAGAACGGAGTCGTATGAAAGACTTCATCACGAACAAAAGACTCATGCTCTCACTTGCTGATGCGGGTGGACGGATGATGTATAGCATCAAAGACCTATCCGAGCTTGCTGGCTACACCTCGCGAATCTATACCCTCATCAGCACCCTGCATCGCGTCCACGCAGATGCATACTTCCCATCCCCTGGTACCCGACCAGAGTTGTACTCTGTATCCGATGTTCAGGGCACCATACACAAGGGTTTCGATGGCGTCCGTCTAGAACATGTCCCCATCGTAGCGCCTGCCCAATTCCCCATGGGCGGTGAGGAGCTCATCGAGTCTTTGAACTTCATTGTGCATTCTGGAGAACACCTCCTCATCACTGGGCCGAATGGATGTGGAAAGAGTGCTGTTGCCCGTATCGTGGCTGGGCTGTGGCCAACCTTTCGTGGTCTCGTCAGCCGCCCGCGCTCGATTGGTGTGGACGGCATCATGTTCTTGCCCCAGAGACCGTATCTGTCTACCGGCACACTACGCGATCAAGTCATCTACCCCCATACCGATGCAGACATGAAGGAGGCAGGCCGTCGCGACATTGAACTGTCGCAGGTTCTCGAGCAAGCGAAGCTCGGCTACCTGCCAGACCGCGAGGGCGGCTGGGACACGAAGAAAGTATGGAAGGACGTGTTCAGTGGGGGTGAAAAGCAAAGGATACAAATTGCAAGGCTGTTGTATCACGAGCCGAGATATGCCTTCTTGGACGAATCGACAAGTGCGGTCAGCAGTGATGTTGAAGGGCTGATGTACGAGATGGCCAAGGCGAAGGGTATCAGTAAGTTGCATGCCGTGTACAGCCCAGACCTGCCAGACTAATGGCCATACAGCACTCATCACAATCTCTACTCGCGCCTCGTTGAAGCGCTACCACACGTTTACGCTCACACTGGGTCTCGGAGACTATGGCGGTGACTGGGAGCTGCAACGCATTGGCACAGTAGAGGAGAAGTCTTCGGTTGAGAAGGAGCTCGCTGAACTCGGCGAGCGGCTGGCCAAGGTGGAGGAGTGGAAGAGGAGGAGGGATGAGATTGAGGAGGAACTGAACAAGGTATGGGTAGAGGGCGAGGAAGGTGGCGGAGAGGAGGAGCTGGCCCCACCACCGTATCTTGCGACCGAGTCTCAAGTGCGTGAAAGGGATGGAGAGGGAGAGGGAGGTGAAGAGGGAGGTGAAGAGAGCTCGCGAGAGGAGAGGAAGAGAGGAGATGGCGAAGATGTGTCGCCTTCTACCGTATAGGCAGAATAGAATAGAATAGCCATACTACGGATTATGATTGGGCCAAGACTTGACCGACTGTTTGTTCATGATGGGTGATGAGTGGTGGGTGGGGGGGCATCGAGGACATGATGGTGGCGCACAGACTTGGTGACTACATACTCTACCGGTAACCATGGGGGGAACTACTGGATGGCTTTGGCATCACTGCATCCACCCTGTTCCTTGTTGGATGAAGCAAACATCAATGTCAGTCACTGTCTACATGCCTATATCGCGGTAGTCGCCCCCAAAGCCCTCACTGCCCGGCGACGCTCGACACCACCATTGCCCACCTGCCGATACCGTAATGCAATCACAGCAATGCCTACGCGCGCAATCAAGGCCATCTTCTACACGCGATTCCACCACGAGAAGGGTGGGTACGCCACGATGAGCGATTACTGCATCTACTGCTTGTGTTTTGTTTGTATGGAATGACATGGGATGACACTTTTGTATGCCAACTTTTGACGCACCAAGGCTGACAAGTTGCGCACGACTAGGAAACCGCGTCCTCCACCAGGTCCCCGCCGGCAGCATCATCCCCTCACAGCTGCCATCTGCCCTCCCGACGCCGCTGATTCCCTTTGCCTCGGTCACGCAATATCTCATCCCCACGCAGCAATTCTGCGATCGCCTGCTCACCTTTTGCGTCCACCACCACCGCGTCATCGGGTACCCCGTGTGCATCCGTGAGGGCCGGTACAGCCGTAACGAGTTCATCTTCAACTTTGCCATTGTCATTGGCGAGAACGAGGCCGATTGGGCGTGCTACGGCGAGGTTGTGCGCAAATTGGGCCGTCTGCTGCGCGGCCTGGAGGAGCAGGGTGGCTTCCTGAGCAGAGAAGAAGCCGGCGTATGGGAGTGGGACGACGATGCCAGCACACGCGACCAGGGCAACGGCGACAGCAAGGTGTATGCCTTGTGTGAAATGGTGCTCGAGGATCTCAACAACTATGCGGAATGCATGATCCCCATCGACGACTCCAACACCATCAACCTCAAGCTGTTCCCAACCCGACCGCCGCCTCCGCCTATTCTCGCCCACCAGGTTCCGCTGCTGACCATGTCGCTGTCGAGCCTGCAGACGCCCATTTCCTCGGATCTCACCCTCAACCGCATTCTTCCCTACATCAACGGTGTCAATTCCATTTCGCGCATAGCACAGCTCGCCGACACGGATCTTTCCCTCACCCGCCGGGCCATACAGCACCTCGTCTACTACGGCTGCTTGGTGCTGCTGGACATTTTCAGCTTTGGCGCCATTTATGCACCGACTGCAGAGATTGGCAGCTTTGTCATGGACGCGGATATCAAGGACGAGTGTATGCGCTATGTGCGGGTGCCTCGCCTGACACCAGAGTCGAACCCCAAGATGGTGAGGATGGGCAGTGAATCTGAATCGAGCCTGACTGGTGGGCGAAGCCCCCTATCACCATCTGCATCGCAGCTCAGCGATCCTGGAGGATCAACGTCCAGAGCGACCGAGCACCTTGGCGTCAATGCGACTGTGAAGAAGGATGCAAACGCTACCGACGAATGGCACATCGGCCACGAGACACTTATCACGCTGTACACTTCCCTTCGCCAAGGGCTGACACTGAAGAATTGGGTCCTCGAGAACCTACACCACTTGAGCGGCATCGATGTACGACGACTCATCAGCTTTGGCATCATCAAAGGTTTCCTGTACCGTGTGCACAAGTACGCCATAGCAGCACCCAGCACTCTACCCCCAGCACCACCTACCAGTTTACAAAGCTCTGCTGCACCCTCGATAGTCAATGCGCAGGATTCAGACACAGTTACGATCCGTGGTGGAGCTACACACCATACTTCCCAGTCCAAGGTGCACTCCCACTCTCAACACCCTTCGGTGCAGATTTCTCGACCGAGCAATGCGTCGACTACATCACTCAATCCGCACGTAGCTACTACACAGCACCTGAACTTTGGCAAACCAGAGGCTGTCGAGAATATGGTCGCTGGAAGGGAGCAGAAGAACAGCCTTACGCTGCTGAAGTTTCTCGATGGCGTGCATTGCTTTGATGAGATTTGTTCCGAGCTAGGGTGGCCGGAGAAAGTGGTGGAAGGGAAAGTACGGGGCATGGGGGATGGTTTGGGGGTAGTTATTCATCGTTGATGCTTTGTCGACTAGCAACGCAATCAGAGTCATCTTCATTTCCCCAGCAGGTGATTTCTCGTCAGTGAGATTCAGATTAGACTGAAAATTGGGAGCTGGCCAATGCCCGCTCTCCGGATGGATGCTTCCATGAGCATTGTATGTACCCAGTGCGAATCTAGCCCATGGCGAGTTTCGAGTTTCGAGACCCTTTTCCGAAATCGACAACCTTGGCTACTTAACGTTACTGTACCGGTACGACAGCTAGCATCGGCCCGGATGCCGAGGCCACTCCCCATCGAAGCGGCAATCCCACCGAGCCACAGCTTACCAACCTCCCAGAAACAAACATCGTGAACGCTATAGTACATACATAGCACACTTTGAAGGGGGGTCGGATTACCGCTAACAGCATGGTTGGCGTCGCTCCCATCGGAACTTCGACGGGCCATTGCGGACTTCCTCACCTCTTCATTCGTGGAAACTCCCAAAATCATGCGCGTGCCGCCGGTGGGCATGTCCGTACAAGTGGCATTGCTACTTACTAACAAAAGAGTGCCCCGCACTAGATTCGGTCAAGGGGACCAGGTGATCTATCTGTATTGTTGACTTCTGTGAATCTGTCTTTTCACAACACCATCCATATAGGTACCAGCGGTGAAGTTGGACTGGATTCCTCTTCAGGATGAGCACAACAACAGTGACAGCGGTCAAACCGACCAAAGCCAACATTGGTGTCTACACAAACCCCGCACACGATCTCTGGGTCGCAGAAGCAGAGCCCAGCCTGCAAGAGGTGCAGAATGGCGGCGACCTGAAGCCGGGAGAGGTGCTGTTGAATGTGAAGAGTACGGGGATTTGTGGAAGTGACATTCACTTTTGGCACGCTGTAAGTCTTCCTCTCTCCCTTTTCCCATTCTCACAAAAATCGGAACATAGAGAGCGACCCCAAGGCTAATGAACAAACACAGGGCTGTATTGGTCCCATGATTGTAGAAGACACTCACGTACTTGGCCACGAATCCGCCGGCACAGTCCTTGCCGTTCACCCTTCCGTAACCTCGCTCAAAGCAGGCGATCGCGTAGCCATTGAACCCAATGTCATTTGCCATGAATGCGAGCCCTGTCTTACCGGTCGATACAACGGCTGCGAGCGAGTGCAGTTCCTATCCACACCGCCCGTCACCGGCTTATTGCGACGCTACCTCAAGCATCCTGCCATGTGGTGCCACAAGATACCCGACAGCATGACATTTGAAGACGGTGCAATGCTAGAGCCTCTCAGTGTAGCCTTGGCAGGTATGGACCGTGCCAATGTACGATTGGGCGACCCGGTGGTCGTATGTGGCGCCGGGCCTATCGGATTGGTGACCTTGCTATGCTGTCAAGCTGCTGGTGCTACGCCCCTCGTCATCACAGACATTGACGAGGGCCGTCTGAAATTCGCAAAGGACCTTGTCCCCAAAGTTCTCACACACAAAGTCGAATTCACCCATTCCCCCGACGACTTCCGCAACGCCGTCACCAAACTCATGGACGGTGTGGAACCCGCTATTGCCATGGAATGTACGGGTGTGGAGAGCAGTATCGCCGGTGCCATTCAGGCCGTCAAGTTTGGTGGCAAGGTGTTTGTCATTGGCGTGGGCAAAAATGAAATGAAGATTCCCTTTATGAGATTGAGTACGAGGGAGGTGGATCTACAGTTCCAGTACCGGTACTGTAATACGTGGCCCAAGGCTATTCGGCTGGTGAGGAGTGGGGTGATTGAGCTGAGTCGGTTAGTCACGCATAGATTTCAGTTGGAGGATGCGGTTGAGGCTTTTAAGACGGCGGCGGATCCCAAGACGGGAGCTATCAAGGTGCAGATACAGAGCTTGGATTAAACATGTGTTGGGTTTGAGAGATATGTTATGTGGAACACAGGGAGGGACATCATCTTCAGGGGAGTTTGCATATAGAAAGAGGGAGGGCGTTGAGATTTGGTTTATTCCTCGTATCAAACTAGCTTGCTGATAGTGCCGTGCATATACATCTATATATCCCAGTGTGGCTATCCAAGTGTGGTTGCACACGTGCCTAGGCAAAACAGCTGGAGACACTGGCGTGTCTCACAAACATGGTTACGCTTGGTATCGCTCAATAGTCAATAGCAAATAGGCATGTTCAAGATTTACAGCAGATACATTCATACATGTTTCCGAAAGGGCTATACACGCAGACGCCAGCAGATGTACCGCGCAGCTCGGCCCAGGCCTCGAATTCTTCTTATTCATCTGGCCCCTCATGATGCCGTTGCAAACCACCACCATGGAATCAACGCCAACAAAAAAACAAAACTTCAACATGCGTCTAGAAATGCTCCTTCCAAAAGTCAAAAGACACTTCCTGGCACGTAGCCTGCTTACACGCCTTCTTGATGTCCCTGGCGGCCACGTTGGGACCGCAAAAGTAGACTCCAACCTTGGTTCGCAGTGTGCTTTCTAGACCATTCATATAGGTACGGTCGAGGATGCCATCACGCATCCCGCAGAGGAGGCGCTGGAAATCAGGGCGTCCAAAGTTTGTCCGGGACTTGAGCTCGGTCAGGGGATCTTTGTCTGTGCCTACCGAGTTGAGAACGATATTTTGTGCAGTGTTGGCGTCCATTTTCTGGGTGAGGTAGGTGTGTATACGGAGAAATTGGTCACCATCTGGACCGCCGAGGGACTGTGCTTCGAGCGAAGAGAGAAGAGTCTGGAACCATTCAAAGGACGAGGTATCCTTGCAGACCCAGATGAATTCAACACGACGAAGGCGCTTAGGCGGGTTCGGGCTCAGACGGAGGTGGTAGATGGACTTGAGAATAGAGGCCCATGGAGTGACACCAATTCCAGTACCGATCAGGACGGCGACTTCGTTCTCAAAAACGTCCTCGGCAGGGGCTCCGTATGGGCCGTCGATTCGAAGGGCCGGCATCTTTTGTCCGTGCTGCAAGGCGATCTCGTACATGCCCATGGGGTCAAGCTCGTCGTAGAGCTTAGACTGGGACTGGCCAGCGCCTAGAGCATCGGCAAGAGCGCGGGTAAAGTCACCGACCTGGCGTACGTGCACCGAAATATACGGGTCATGTGGGCATGATGTGATGGTAAATGGATGCCACTGGTGGTAACTGACTTCTGGGCAGTTGAGGAAGAGCCACTGCCCAGGTTTGTACTTCATGCTGGGCTTTGTGAACTGGATCTCTACAGCGTCTAGGATGCCGTTAGCAGAAAGTAGATGTGAATGCTGGAATTGTTCTTGGTGCTTACCATAAGGATGGCGGACCACCTTGACAATTTGAGTCTGTCGTCTGCAGCGAATCTCCCGGTAGAGGCGGTCAAACAGGTACAAACCACCACCGACGAGCTCCCAACGCCAACCTTCGTATCCGAGGCAATGCTTCCACCTGTTCACGGGGTCGAATGGCGACTGTGGGAGTGCGCTATCACGGACAAAACAGCTAGTGGTGTGGGTGTACATGCCGAGCAAGAAAGGGATGAACAAGTGGTGCGTGTACCAGAAAGTTTCGAATGATTGCTGGCGAATCCTGTGATGTGCCGTCGTGTAGATCATGAGCATACAAAACAACATGATGTGCCCGGTAACACCACCGCCCTCTGTGTAATGAATCTGTAGTGCAATTTGTGGTCTGACCTGGGATTTCTCCACGGTGTAGAAGCTAGTATAATTAGGTATGCTCTTGGGGAAAGAATCGAAGGATACTCACTTGATATAATGTGATGCTGTGTGCAGGATAGTAAAGAACAGCATCGCATATGCGACTTGCCTGTGGAACCATTGAGACTCATCAAGCGGCAAGAACCGTGCCTTGGGACGAAGCCAACGCAGAATGTTGCGGCACATGGGCATTACGATGACCATTGTGTCGACAGATAAAACCAGGCCTGCGCCTCGGGAAATCCATACGGAGTGCTGCAGAGTATCGTTGAGAGGCTTCAATTTAGGTTGGGCGACTTGTAGATGCCTGGTTTAGGTCAGTACGATAGCAATCGAATCCACTGCACCCTGAGAGACCCACCATCCTAATCCAAACAGCATCCAATGGAAGCCCCAGAAGAAGAAATGAAAGAAGAACTTCTGTGGAGTGAAGAGCCGGGCTATTGAACTGCGACCTGAGCTTGAACCCATGTTTGCCAATAAGCTTGAGAAATCTGATGGGTGATGTTCCTCTTCTACAGCAGGTTTTCGCTTGGGTCAAGGGTGATGGTTGAGAGGGCGTCGATTAAAGAGCAGCGATTAAAGAATGTAAGTGTATAGAAAACGGACCACGACGGAATAGAGGGAATCCAGTCGAAGTTCGACCCGGCCAGCCAGATACGAAGTGAAGAAAAGAATGTCGGCGTCCGGGACCCGCGGAGAATAGTGTGAAGAGAGAAAGAGAGAGGAAGTCGAGGTGGAGGACGACGCAATAGGGTCAGCGATTGGCAGGGTATTATTATGTCTTGGTGCTGGATTTCTGGGAGGAAGATAGACAAGGACTAGGTGAGTATCAGACGAGCCGTGGGATGGTGGGTATGGCGGCACCCTGTACTGAAACCTAGATGCCTGGTCCGGATGGAGGTGGCTCAAACCGATTTGCTGTATAGCCAATGTATTAAGGCGGATAGAACAGCTGTAGACTGCTCAAAGCGGAGCAGAGACAGGGTTATGGAGCAACGCACCCAGCCTCAATGAGTCGAATCAAGCTTTGTGGAATGGCAGCAGGGTGGAGAAGGATTGGGACCTATGCGATGGGCGTCTGGTGTGAGAGAAACGTTTCAGAGCTGTAGCGCCAGGCACGGGATCATGTTTTCCTCGCAGAGTTGAGACGAGACGGAAAATCGGAGCCTGAAGATGGCCAAGTAATGTTTGCAAAATGCGCCTGTTGGCTGTACTACAGTACTCTACTGTTATGCGTAGACCTGTAGGCTGCGTCTGTGGCGGAGAGGAGCGAGCCAGGGCGAATGCGCAATTCGGCGTTTTGCAATGGATTGCGGGCAGCGGGAAGGTGCGTGAGATGGTTTGGAATTGTTCTACAAACCTTCTTTCACGGCGATGGTCGATATAGGCACTGTGAGGTGGCGATGGTAGAGTGAGCGCTGAAACGGGTCGTGTACGAGGTTGTGAAGGTGGAAGGGGGAGAGAGGGGGGCGGCTGCAGATTTACAGTTGGCACAGTGATGGGCAGAAGTCGTAGGATCGATCGAAGCAGAAAATGGCCGTTTTCTGTAGATCTGACTTGGGGATCGATGAAGGAGGTAAACTTGTTGGTGATGACTATGAACAAGATGGAAAGTGGCAGAGTTGGCGCAATGATGCTTGCTCCTCTACTGATAGGAAGGTAGTATAGAATAGAGTCTAGCAGCGAAGCCCTGCAGCGAAGCCGAGCGGGCCCCCAAGCATGCATGGTAAGGCTTCGCTGGTACGAGTTCTAGTATGTATCCCGACTTCTCCATTGGAGCCAGCGAGGGGCCGAGTTCGATGGTCTCCAAGCCCAGTGGCAGCTGCAAGTCGTCGATGGGATGTGTGGTTGGTAGGACAAAGACATGGGAAGCCAGGGGAGCTCCCGGGAGTGCAGGGTGGGTAAGCCTCGGCGCCATGGACACGACCAATGCGGGCTGCCCGCGAAGCGCTGGAATCAGGATGATCCCCTCCTAGGCCAGGCTGGCTGCAGCGCTTGTACTTAGTTGTACTATCAACTGTAGGTACTGACTGTGGCACCGTGGCACTGTGGTACTGTGGTAGGTCACTAGGTACAGTACACCAGATCTCGCCTCTATTTTGGGGTACGAGTTGTTCCTGTTGGTCGCCATTTCGGCCCATTGAGAGTTTCCGTGCATACCGGTAATAGGGCTGTGATGGTGCCATGGAGGATCGAGGACATTGATTGCTCGATCCAATCCCTCGACGCATCTGGTCAACTAGGTATCCTCTTGCTGTGTAGTTAGTTGCCACTGGGTAAGAAGCCCATCAAGGAAGAGCCACAACAGGCCATCAAGGAAGAGCCACAACAGGCCATCAGGGAAGAGCCACAACAGGCCATCAAGGAAGAGCCACAACAGACCCACTACGTGGGACTCGCGGAAGCATACCGAGAAGAAACAGCCGTTGCAGGCTGGGACAGAACCATTATCGTACGACATTGTTTGTCTCGACACGGTCATGCCTTGGGCATGGCCCTGATTCGGTTCGGAGAGGAACTTTGTAGGTACTATCGTGGCCTAGCATCATCTTGTTGGAACATGGAAGCGTGAAGACCCTTGGGGCCTGCAAGTGGAAACCGGCACTGAGGCAGTCCGTGAGGCTCCATCGTGCCACCACGCTCGGACACAAAGACAAGTCCCTACTGTCTACCTGACTCTTTCTCTCTCCCTCAATGGTAGCAGCTATGTATCTACAATACCATGACTGGTCCATGGCATGTACAGTACAGTACAGTACAGTACAGTACAAGTAGAGTAGGGAACTTGGTCGACATCCGCTGCTTCTGTCGGTTAGTGCTTTTGTCATTTTCACGATATACCGGTAGATGTAGCATGGTAGCTAGTAGCATACGGTAGGTATACCATAGCTCCCGTAGGATACCGATATGCATAACAGTATGTCGGTACCGGTACTATACCTCTACCAGACAGGTGATGGTGGCCTCTTGCCAAACGGCACACTCTCTACCCGCGATGGGTGGGATAGGCATTGTACGATGGAGGTACTGTGATCAAGACAGACATGGTGTGCATGGAGTCGTAATCATGGACTGCCATCCTCCAAGGCGCCATCCAGGATGCTGGTATTGTGTGGTGTGGGTTTTGTGACTTGAATCTTGCGGGCTGCAGAAGCGGGCTGGTCTTGGTCGCTGGCACATTGCATGCCTCAATGGCCCCTTCACCCCCGCCTAGCGCCAAGGCTCAGCCATCCAATCACAACTGCGCTACACCACATCCATGCAAGTGACGCCGAGTGGGTCCAGCGGCTACACAAACCACCATGTCCAACCTCCCCTCTCCCGCCAAGTCCACATTCGCCCGCGCGGGCTTGTTGCAATGGCACTGCAACTACCTAGACAGAATAAGAGAATGAGAGAGAGACACACAGACATACACACTCGCACTCACACTCACACACGGAGAAAGAGGGCCAGAGAAAGAACAGAAACCCGTGGGCCGTCAACGCATAAAAGTCCATCTACATTGGGACCTGACCTCCCGCTCACTGTCTATGCCTCTGCCCTGATACACCTCACGTCGCGAAAACCACACACAACGGCAACGATACGCTCTGCCTGAACACCTAACAAGCCTGAGACTCGCCTACACCTCAGCCATCCACTACCCACTACCTGACCATCACCGCCATCACCCCAACCTTGACTCTTTTCGACTGCGAGTGGACCCATCGCAGCCGACAGCCCACTGCTATAACAAACCCGCGACCCAACCTACCAAGCCGGCTGCTCTTGCGTCGTTCAGGCTACTGGTAGTCCACACGCATCCCATCTTTTGCCTGTTCTTCCCTTCTTCTCTTCTCCCAGTTTTCCCTTTTCTATACGCCGCGGGCTCGGTCTACTGCTCGTATCCTTTCTTTTAATTCACAATCACAAAATTTCGCAAGCATGGGAAAATTAATCAAAAATCACTGGGCGCGCCTCATTGTTCTCTCAGCTGCAGCCTGTAAGTCACAGGCCCCAAGGCAGCACATGCCATGTTTTTGTTCAACCACAGCTGTCTCTGCCGATACTGACTGTAGAGTAGACCAAGTAGCAGCTGCCATTGAAGGCTTTTTCTGGCCAAAGATCTTCTGGGACTTCCTCACAAAGAATCTTGATGGTGCTGTGACACCCGTCCCAGTCCTGCAGATACTGAATCTCCTCTTGGGACTCGTTGGACTTGCATGGGAGTGGCCATTACGACCGCTCGCAGGCACGGGACTACACCGCTCCATTGAAGCCCGACTCATCATCTACCCCATATGCGCTCTTTGCGCCCTTTTGCTCTACCAGGGAACCAACGCAGGACTGTACTACATCATTGGCATGGGCGCTTATTTCTGGGCATACAGTGAAGGCGAGGTACGACATGGTTATCCACCCACTTCCCCACGATAACGTGCTAATGCCCTGCCTAGATTGTCTGCCCAGAACCATGGACACTCCCAAAGAGAGGCTCCACGGTGCGGAAAATGGGCGCATAGTCCTTTGCCCATTGTTCACCTCGCATTTACACTTCTACTATATCCACATTGTTTCTCGGTACCATATAAATATTGACAATGACTACTCCGACCTGTATATTTTGAGTTTAGTATCCAAATAGGACGGTCATGTGGGCGAAACAGCTAGCACCGAGAGAAAGCCTCAAGGATCAGCAGATTGCTGTGTCCAGCGCGCGTGGCCATTTGGTTGCAGACAACCTGGATATCAAGCTACAAAAATTTATCCTACACACATCTACTAAACGTCCCCACTGGCTAATGACTTGTGCAGAGAGAATTACTGTAGCCATTTATTCCCGCATGCTTTCAATAGACTCACCAGCACTCCCTTGCTCATTGTCGTTTTTTCCTCCTCCAATGAAGATCACAAGTCAGCAACTGGTCCAATCTTCTCCTGACGCTGTCTAGGTTTCAGAGCGGCTAAGCTGCCCGCGCGTTGACAAGGCTCACACCTCTGGTGCCTCAGCAGGATAGTATCCTTCGCTTAGACACATCAATACGTACCCCGCAATCCCGTGATATTGCCTTTGGGTTCTGGGTGATGATGTTGCAATCATCCTCGGTGATAGGCATGCTCAAAAGGTACATTATACATGAATTTTTGCTGGTGCCATTTTCTCATCGCAATCCGCATAAATGACCAAGGTAATGTGATCTATCTTTCACCTGCACTTTTCCTCTCGAGCTTGCACGACTCTACTCCCCAGGCCCTTCGATCAGAATCTTGATTCCCTTGCCCACCTTGACATCTGCAAATGCCTTCTCTGCATCCTCAAACTTGACTTTGCCCGTGATCAATTCACCGATGGATATCCGTCCGCTAGCAACCAGATCAATGGCAGTTTGGTAGTCACCTGAACCGTAGCGAAAGGAGCCTTTGACGTTGAGTTCCTTTGTGCACATGGCCATGATAGGAAAGTTGATATCGGGCTTGCCCATGCCGCCCTGTGATGCTGTCAGTGACCTGTTTCTGTCCAGACCCGAGACAAAGTCCATGGAGATGTACCTGAACATAGGTGCCACCCATACGCAACGCATGTATCGCCATCTGAATACACGGTTCCGCCCCTGATGCATCGATGATGACATCGGCACCGGCGTCTAACCCGCATTCCTTGATCAAGTTGGCAGCGTTCTCTTCCGCGCTCACTCTTTGACTCTTGAAACTTGTGTTGGCGGCGTACTTGAGGGCAAATTGCATCCTCTCGTCGTTGATGTCAACTGTTACAATCTTCTTTGCTCCATATGCCTTTGCCACAGCACAACATAGCAAGCCTACAGGACCTGCACCAAAGACGACTACAGAGTCACCCGGCTTGACAGCTGCCTGTCGTGTAATGTGTACTGCAACCGCAGTGGGCTCCATCAGCGCACCCTCCTCCATGCTCATATTGTCGGGTAGTTTGTAGCAGTAGTCTTCAGGGAGAGTGTAATACCTTGCAAGCGTTCCGTCATACGGTGGTGTCGCTGCGAATGCCATGTCTGGGCACAAGTTATATTTCCCCTCTTTGCAGCGTACGCAGCGTCTGCAGGGAACTCCAGGCTCCATGGCAACTCGATCACCAATCTTCAAAGTCCTGACTTTGTCGCCAACGGCATGTATAATGCCTGAAGATTCGTGGCCGAGGACCATGGGCTTCTCGACGATGAAGTGGCCGATGCGGCCATGGACCCAGTAATGCACATCTGAGCCACAGATACCAGTCCACTTTGGCTTCACAATGACATCGTATGGCGAAGGGAGCTCAGGAATCGGTCGGTCTTCGTATCTGACTTTGTTGGGTTCTTGGAGCACGAACGAAGGGTTCTGAGTCTTGTGTGAGCATTGCTAAATGCCCAGTGGAAGCCGTCTCGTCAGGTTGTGTAGCACGCATGTGGCGCGCGTTACGTGATGCATGGAGGGGTAAGTAGATGATGGCGGGGCAATGGAGCTCACCTTCTGCGAAGATGTCTGTGTCGTCATCTTGAAATTCACACCGATTGTCTATAGCAACGAGGAGAACAGAGAGTGGAACTTTTTGGAACGGCGAACAAACTATAGAATGTGTACGTGCAACTAAAAAGACATGGCCAAGCATCGGTGGACCGCAGAGCATAGCTGCACGGTAAAACCATACGACCAACTGGTTGGATGCACTCCTCGATTGCAGCCGGGCTTGTGGATGCCTAGCAATTATCCGAGCTAATTACCCGGCGTTTACACTGCTGCTTGCAAAGAGCTATCCATGACTGTCGGCGCAGCTACCGATGGCGTTTTGCGTTTTAGCGCACCGTTCGTCAATGTGCGTGAAGCCAAATCAAACCCATCTGAGTAGAATGGTGGGGCCTTGCGGACACTCCTGGTCGGCCATTATCCGCGACGCCGGAAGAATCGGGCTTGAATATCGACGGTCAGTGAGATCAAGCTCACACGGGCGTTACTCATCTCTGCCAACAGCAGCTTTCCAGGCCCAGCATGACCACCAGCACGTTACGATGACAGCATCGTCCTCATCCTCGTCCGCCCCATAGTTTGTTGACGATTGCCAATCGTCGAAACCATTCTCCTCTCCTTGGTCTACAATTTCTAGTCCAATGTCTGACATACGCTGGCGAAAGTCTTTGATCTGTGGCAGGTACGCGTCACGATATGGGAATTCTACAATGACTTTGGCCTCATCCTCTCTTGAAAGCCATTGAGCGATGGAATTCGCAAGCATACGAGGATGATCCGGTGCGTACAGCGAGTCTGCTGCAAGGATGAGTGGGAATTTTTCTGGTACATTGGAGGCTCCGTAGGGAGTGACATGGTCGTCGAACGGCTCGTACAAGGCAGGGCAACTCCAATCCAGAGTAGCTGTGCGGGCCGAGCCATTGTTCTGAGATATTGTGTGATAATTAGCTCGCACATTGCGTGCAAGGTTTGGACATATCGACGACATGTCGGTGAGGTGCACATGGGCGCCCAGCCCCGCCATTGCAAGTCCTACGAGACCAGTGCCTGACCCAAGCTCCAGGACACGGAGCTTCCGGGTGTCCTCTGACGGCGTCAAATGGAATTTATGCAGGCGCTTGGCGAGAAGATATGAGGCAGCCCATGTCTTCAGGCCAAGTTCATCGCCAGTCATTGCAGGCTCATGAATACTGAGCTCGAAAGGGTTGGTCGCAGTAGGTATTTGAAAGGTGCGCGACATGGACCCCATGGCAGAGCGACCTGACCGTTCGCTCAGTCTAGCACTGGCTTGCTTGTATATCGCTTCTTTGGCATCCTCATCCTCAATCCAGCGCAAACCACTGCTGACAATGCTGGTAAGGTAACGTGTGACGCCTTCGGGATTGATGTCTATCTGGCCTGCAACCGCATCTCCGCTCTGATTGCTTGGGCCAGACGCACGGCTCTTCTCCCACGACGGCGGGACCGTGGTAAGAAGCGCAAGGGCTTCGAGAAGGATGTGTGCTGCGGGCTTGGTGTAGAGCTGAGGTAGGTCGAACACTGTCGAACCTCTTTAGCAGAAAGAAGAGGCTAGGAAGAGGTGTCGATGCAACATACCATGCAGCGTGGACATGACGTTCGCTGTCATCAAGGCGCAGATGTATGCTGGTGTCGCATTGCAGCGAACTGGCGGGTGAGCTGCGCAACAAATCCATGTTCGCTGAGGCGGCGCTAACTAGTACCTAAGTCACTTTTTGGTGCACCATGTAGGCCCCCCTTGGCACGAGAAACACACTCCCATGCAGGATATGGTATAGTACATATTCAAGTACTGGGCGGCACAACGCCTATCCACCGAGCATGTGGTCATTGCAAGTGTCAGTTATTCTTCAGGGTCGTCTTGAAGCCGTAGTACGCCTGATCCATGTCGAACTGGAACTCGCGTGCTTGCTCGTCGTCCAGCTTCTCTGACGCCCGCATTTGGTTCAGCGTGATGAGCCACTGCACAATCTTGCCCTTGCTCTCAAAGTCCTTGTCCGTCACCTTGTTCACAGCCTGTATGATCTCGACAAGCAGGGGATGCAGCGTGTCCTTTTCCACGAGTCCAATCTTGATGGCGTCTAGCAAGGTAATGAAGTTTTCTGTTGCATTCATGACCAGCGTCGCGTCGGCAAAATCGCCCTGCTGGCTGGGCTTGGATGGACCTTGTTCGACCGTAGCTGGGATGCCTACCCGCAGCCGCTCCAGGGCACGAGGACATTCCATCTGAGATCGGGTCAGCATACAGCCAGCCAAAGGCGCGCATAGTCGAAGATGACGCACATGCCACTCCTTTGTGAACTTGTCCAGATCCCCAAATGCATTGGCGACCGTATCGTTTGCCAAGTTGGACTTGTATTGCTTCAACAGGCGGTTGCATGTCTCGGTGTAGTCAGCCTCGGCGATGGAGTCTTTCAGATAGGCCTTCTCAATCGCGTCGAGGGTGATAATGATGCTGTAGATTTCGGCCAGCGAGTCGTTCAGGTCACGCTCGGCATTCGTTGTCGACAGCTTGACCTCCTACGGGGAAAGGAGGGGGGAAAGGAGTCAGCGGGTGCGCGAGGGCAGTGAGCAGCGGGACCACTACGTCGCATACCTCGTCGAGGTTGATGGTCGCAGAGAGTGCCGAGCGTGGCATGTAGGGTGTTGGCGCATAGGCCAGCTGGCGATTGGGATACATTTGTGGCAGAGTTCTCGTTTGGAGCGATGCTGTGATTTATGCGACACAGTTTCTGCTGTCTACCTTCAAAGAAAATGGTGCGCTAGGCAAAGAGGATCACGCTCAGACTAGGAATATGTACTGTATGGGAACATGTAGGTTAAGTAACTTGCATGGTCTTAATGCCTACCTCGGGAGAGGGCTGGACCCTGCAAAGCGAAACAAACCTCCCCACTTTTTTTGAAGCCGACTAGTGTTTTTTTTTGGTCTTCGAGCAAGCCTCAAGGAGCAGCATCACCACCAGTCCACCAGCACCAGCACTATTACAACGACCACGACAACGTGCTAAAGACGCCAGTACCCCGCACAACTGCGGACTACGTCGAGATGCCCGTCTCCAAGGCAACCAAGAAGTTCGAAAAGAACAAGCTACACGATGTCCTCAAGCGCCGCAAGGATGTCGCCAAGATTAAGCAGAAGAAGCAGATGGACGTGAAGAAGAAGGAGCGCAAGGCCAGAGATAACGCCAAAGCCGAGGCTCTCGAGGGTGATGATAGCGCAAAACCCAAGGCAAATGGGTCCAAAGATGATGGCTTCGCCGACATGTCCATGGACCACTTCTTCCAGGGTGGCTTCCAGGTGCCTGAGATGACCAAGAAGCCAAAAGTGAAAACGGGCAAGCGGAAGCGCACTCCAGTGGAGTCGGCCGGCTCTGACGACGAACTGGTTGAGCCGCGGACTTCTGACCTGGAGTCGGCATCTGACAGCGACTCTGGTGACGATGCAGATGCGCACAAGGAGCAACTCGCTGGGCTGGCCAGCAAGGACCCTGACTTCTACAAGTACCTCAAAGAGAACGATGCCGAGCTCCTGGACTTTGCCGAAGACGCCGACCTTGCAGAAATCGATGCGCTCAGCGCCAGCGAAGACGAAACGACGCCAAGAAAGAAGAAGACGAAGAAGACCGAGAAGAACGGGACAAAAGCAAAAGCGTCAGAGGAGATTTCGGATGACGAAAGCGATGCCACGGGGAGCAACGAACTCACAAGAAAGACTGTGCAGAAGTGGAAAGAGTCCATGGAGTCCAAGTCGTCTCTTCGAGCCATGAAGGAGGTCGTCCTAGCTTTCCGGGCAGCAGCACATTTGAACGACGATCAGACAGGAAAAGAATACAAGTACACCATATCGGACTCCGAAGGTACCCTTTTCCCCCATCGACGACTATGTTCTCAGGTCTGACGCATCATCTAGTGTACCATGAGGTCCTCGTTAGCACGCTCCAGCTCGTCCCTAAGGTGCTTCAACACCACCTGCCCGTGAAGGAGAGCGCTGGAGGCAAGATGTCAGTACAAATACCTTGGCCGGCTTACATATTGCTGACACTAACAGCCGTGTGCCCACCGAATCAAAGAAATTTCGCACCCTCACGCCGCTCCTCAAGTCACATACTGTCTCAATCCACCATCTCCTCGAGAACTTGTCTGATGCTTCCACACTGCGCATGACATTAGACTCGCTATCATCGTTGCTGCCGTACGTCTTGTCCTTCAAGAAGATTGTGCGTGAAGTCGTACGGTCGGTCTCGTCTGTGTGGTCAGATTCCGCAAATAACGAGATGAGCCGACTGTCCGCTTTTTTGGTCCTCCGCCGATTGCTTGTCATTGGTGATCCTAGTATTCGCGAGACTGTGTTGAAGCAAGTGTACCAGGGACTGGTCAAGGGCGCAAGGAACACCACTGTACACAACATTCAGGGCATCAACTTAATGAAGAACACTGCATCCGAGCTCTGGGGCATCGATCCTACCGTTGGCTACACGACAGGCTTTGGCTTCATCCGCCAACTCGCTATCCATCTACGAACGAGCATCACCAACAAAACCAAGGACTCTTACAAAACCGTATACAATTGGCAGTATATTCACTCACTAGACTTTTGGTCCCGCGTGGTAGCAGCTCACTGTGAGTCTCTGCGTGAGGCGGAGTCTGGAAAACCATCGCCACTTCGACCGCTCATCTACCCCGTGGTCCAAGTCACGCTCGGCGCGATGCGACTGATTCCAACCGCACAATATTTCCCTCTTCGATTCCAACTTGTGCGCTCACTTCTTCGAATCTCCTCCGCGACAGCAACTTACATTCCTCTCGCGCCGGCCCTTGTCGAAGTCCTCAACTCAGCAGAAATGAAGAAGCCACCGAAGCCTAGCACGCTGAAAGCTCTTGACTTTGGTACCACGATCCGCGCAACAAAAGCTTATCTACGAACGCGAATTTACCAAGATGGCGTGGGTGAGCAAGTCGCCGAGCTTCTAGCCGAATTCTTCATCCTCTGGACCAAGAACATTGCGTTCCCAGAACTAGCACTTCCTGTCATCGTTATGCTGAAGCGCTGGGTCAAATCCATGACGAAGAAGAGCACTGGAAACCGCAATGCGAAGATCAGTGCGCTCGTAGCGTTGTTAGTGCAGAAACTCGAGGCAAACTCGCGATGGGTCGAAGAAAAACGAGCGAAGATTGACTTTGCGCCCAATGACCGCGCCGGGGTTGAAAGTTTCCTCAAAGAGCTGGGCTGGGAGAAAACGCCTTTAGGCGCGTACGTGGCAGGCCAAAGAAAGTCGCGAGAGGCAAAGGCGAAGATGTTGGAGGACGCGAGGAAGACGGATGATAAGAAAAGGAAGCAGGCTGAGCAGGCAGATGGGAGGGGTGCCCAAGAAGACTTTGGAGCCGAGTCGGCGGATGAGGATGACGTGGACATGGAAGAGCTTAGCGATGAGGATGCTTGAAGCAAGGAGGAGAGGGAAGATTATGAATCCATGGGCATTTTAATCGTTGAACGACGAGTAGGAGGGTGTTATGCTACGAGTGTAATCTAGCAGGCTCGATATACCCACTCATGTCAGAAAGAAAATCGATGTCACGCAGCCAGCTCTATGGGTAGAGTTCAGTCCGTGTAGACTAATTCCCTCTTATTATCACGCTTCAAAGTCATTGTCTGAGCCCTGTTCCACTCCTACATTTTCGACGAGAACGACCAGGCGCGCTTGCGCACACGTCAGTCTAAACCCCACGCCAAAACCTCCCCTGCGCAATCATACCTTCCAAGCTTTTCCCACATACTCCTCGACGTCTTCGAAAAACTCTCTAGGCTTTTCCAACGCGGCAAAATGCCCGCCTCGTTCGTGTTGCTTGTAGAACACCAGGTTGGCATGCTTCTCCAAAACAGACTTGATCCCAGGATCTAGTTCGTGAGGGAAGAAAGAGAAGCCCGTGGGCTTTTGGTGAAACTTGAAGCCTGACCGGTTGGGTCCGAACAGCTCTCTGTAAGGGTAGATTGAGCGCGGAAACGAGGAGGTGTACCAATAGAGGGAGATGTTTGTTAAGATTGTATCGAGGGAGGGGTCCTCGTCTGTCCATTCGAGAAACTTTTCGCCAATCCTGGATTGAAATTTAGCTTGTACATGAGGGGTGATGGCGGATTATGGGAAATAGTGGGAGGGAATGGATGGCTTACCAGGCGAGTAGAGCGAGGGGGCTGGACGAGAGCACAGCGCCAATGGTATTAGGTCGAGAACCATGTTCCTGGGCGTACGCTGTTCCGCTGGCACGCCATGTCGCAGCGCGATCGAGGGCCTTCTTTTCGAGAGGGGAGAGCGTGTTCTCATCAGGTTGATCAGGGGTAGTAAACATGTTCACTGCAAAACTCTTCAGTCAGCGCCCGATACAGGGCGGCAAGAAGGGGCGATTTGCACGCACAATGACAGCCGACGCAGGCCTCATATTCCTGCGAGAGCAACCTTGCCTGGAAACTTCCCACATCTCCTCCCTGCGCAAGGTACTTTTCAAAACCCAAAGCCAGCATGAGCTGATTCATGATTCTCGCGCTGTCCGCCATGGTCCACTCTTCCTCCACAGACTGCACCCTGCTGAGCGTATAGCCTGGTAACGAGGGAATGATGATATGATACGGCAAGTCCTTTGCACTATACTTTTCCCTAATGACTTGACACATGGGCAAGAACTCTATAAAACTACCGGGCCATCCATGCATGAAGATGATGGGAATCGCATTCTTGTTCTGCGAAAAGAGGGCGACAAAATGGACGTCGACATTCTCAATCTGCATCTTGTAGTTTGGGAAAGAATTGATGTGGGCTTCTTGGGCGCGCCAGTCGTATTGGTTGAGCCAATACTCCTTGGTCTCCGAGAGCCATTTCCGTGAGGGGCCAAAACGACGGTCTTCTTGTCGGCCTGCCCAGGTATCAGGGGGCAGAGGGGAGAGTTGGAGAAGCTGATGCCATTCGGAATACTCTTGGTCTGAGATGTGGAGGGTGAAGGGCTTCGCAGTGGTGGGGGGCGAGTATGACATGATTATTGGGAGCAGGCAGGATAGACGGTGATGAGTGTGCAGTGTGTGCAGTAATGCTTTGGGGTACTGGAATCTCTCGACTGTTCCCTCTGAAGTCTCTCTCTTCGTGTCTCGTCGTGTCTCTTCGTGTCTCGTCGTGTCTCGTCGTGTCTCTTCGTGTCTCGTCGTGTCTCGTCGTGTCTCGTCGTGTCTCGTCGTGCTTCCCTTGCTGTCTACTCTCTCCGCCTCTGATCTTCCCTGGTGGGCGTTGGCGTCATCGATCAGGAGCTCGGGAGCAATCAAAGGCGGGGTAGATCGGAACGCTGACCGGGCGCGAATGACACGACAGAGATATGGTACTCTACTGGTGCTAGGGTAATGAAATAATGTCAAGCTGGGCTGGCTAGCTTTGGTGGATGGCTGGTCACTCTTGCTGAATCCCAGGTGCAATTTTTTTTTATCTTTTTTTCCCCCCTTGGTGTGTTCAAAGTGAGTCCACGCTAACAAAGACTTGTATACCTAGGGTACTATGCAAACATACATACATACACACACACACCTCGAGGGCCTCAGCGGCAGTATAGCAGTCGGCATTCTTCTTTCTCCCTGATACCAGCGCATCGCCGTGTAGCGAGTAGCCCCCGCACAGAACACATGGCTCCCGCTCTGATCGCTGCCATTGACCTGGCCAACTACGCCAGTTCAACGCGGGGTTTGAGTGTCGATGCACTGTCCTATATCGGCAATGTCTTCTTTCGAGTCACCGACGATGCCATTGACCAGGCCCTGGCTCACCTGAAGCAATCCGTCGGCCGCTTCGCCAGCTACGTTGCCGTCGACGCCATCACCGCCATCAATGATGTCGTTGCCCTTCTCGATGCTGGCGCGGCCAAGGTCTTCGTCACCCGCCCGCAGCTCTATGCGCTCCTATCCGAGAAGATCGCCCAGGACCGCCTCGTGCTCGTCCTATCCGGCAATACGACAGCGCACCTCACCGAAGCCCTGGCGGCGACCCCACAGGTCGACCTCTATATGCACCACGTCCAACACGTCAAAGTCGACGAGCCGTGGCCGACCAAGCAAGGGCCAGATCGAGCCAATGTCTTCGTGTCGTTTGCAGAGGCTCGTATGGATAGTGTCCTGCCGCTGACCAAGCTCTCCACCATACCCATCATACCCGCCGAGCACCTCACCGTCGATCCGCAGCAACAGCCTGCCGCGTTGAGCGTCGCGAAGCTCCTCATGGCCAATGCCACCAGCGACCGACCGGACGGCTTGTTCACCACCTTGGTCACCGACGAGCGCGGCGTAGCCCTTGGTCTGGTATACAGCAGTGAGGAGAGTGTGGCCGAGAGCCTGCGCACGGGACGCGGCGTGTATCAGAGCCGGAAACGGGGTCTGTGGTATAAAGGCGAGAGTAGTGGTGATGTGCAGGAACTCGTCTCCATGTTGCTAGATTGTGATCGTGATTGCCTACAGTTCGTCGTACGACAGAAGGGCCGGGGCTTCTGTCATCTAGCAACCCCAACCTGCTTTGGAGAGTATAGCGGCCTGTCGCGTCTTCAGAAAACACTCGAAAGCCGTAAAGCTTCAGCCCCCGAGGGCTCCTATACCGCCCGACTATTTCAGGACGAGCAACTGTTAAGAGCCAAAATCCTCGAAGAAGCAACAGAACTGTGCGACGCCAAAACTAAGCAGGAAATCGCATTTGAAGCCGCCGACCTCTTTTACTTTGCTTTAACCAAGTGCGTGGCTGCTGGAGTCTCATTAGAGCATGTCGAACGCAATCTCGACGCTAAGAGCATCAAGGTCAAACGACGTCAAGGGGATGCCAAACCAGCATTCGCTGCTCAGGCTGCCGCTGCTGCTACGAGTCAAACTCCCAATGGCCCTAGTACGACCGTGTCTGTCGAGGAAGCTGCGTCGGTGCCAAAAAGTAAGCAGGACCCAGCGGGCACACGACACGGTCGCATTCAGATGAGACGATACATCACTGCCAACGAGACCCCGGATACCATCACGGCCGCGTTACAACGCCCAGCTCAACGCGGAAGCGAGAAAATTGTCGACATTGCCAAGCCCATCATTGAGGCTGTAAGGACAAGAGGAGACGCTGCACTTCTCGAATACACGCACAAGTTCGAGAAGGCGACTTCATTGACATCGCCTGTTTTGAGAGCGCCGTTTCCTCCAGAGCTGATGCAATTAGCGCCAGAAACTTCCAAAGCCATTGATGTGTCTTTCGAAAACATTCGCAAATTCCACGCTGCGCAGAAAGAGGACAAGCCATTAAGGGTGGAAACAATGCCAGGCATTGTTTGTTCGCGCTTCGCTCGACCAATTGAACGCGTCGGGCTCTATGTTCCTGGTGGTACTGCCGTTTTGCCATCCACTGCACTCATGCTGGGTGTACCAGCTATGGTGGCTGGCTGCAAAAAGATTGTTATCGCAACGCCTCCGCGCTCTAATGGTAAAGTGACACCCGAGGTCGTATATGTCGCTCACAAGGTCGGCGCAGAGTCCATTGTCCTCGCTGGCGGTGCGCAAGCTGTTGCAGCCATGGCATATGGTACTGAAAGTGTTACCAAGGTTGACAAGATTCTGGGGCCCGGCAACCAGTTCGTGACAGCAGCAAAGATGCATGTCTCCAACGATACCAACGCAGGTGTTAGCATCGATATGCCCGCAGGGCCAAGTGAAGTTCTGGTGATTGCAGATGCGTTTGCCAATCCAGCCTTTGTCGCCTCTGACTTGCTCAGTCAAGCAGAGCACGGTATAGACTCACAGGTCATTTTGATCGCAGTAGGACTAAATGAGTCCCAATTGGCTGCCATCGAGGACGAGCTCCACAACCAAGCTATGGCGCTTCCACGCGTAGACATCGTTCGCGGCGCAATTGAGCACTCCATTACACTTGCTGTGAGCTCGATCGAAGAAGCCATGATGCTGAGCAACGAGTACGCCCCTGAGCATCTCATCTTACAGATCGAGGATGCAGAGAAAGTCGTTGACCTGGTGGAAAATGCTGGCAGTGTCTTTGTGGGCAAGTGGACTCCTGAGAGTGTTGGTGATTACTCTGCAGGTGTGAACCACTCCTTGCGTAAGTCTACCTGTTCGCTAGTAGATCCCGTATTCGCTAATTCATCTTGATAGCCACATACGGCTACGCGAAGCAATATTCTGGCGTCAATTTGGCATCCTACGTCAAGCACATCACAAGTTCTCAATTGACAAGAGAAGGTCTCGAAAATGTTGGAGCTGCAGTTATGGAGCTTGCGCGCGTTGAAGAGCTTGAAGCGCATCGTCGTGCTGTTAGCTTGCGATTGGGCTTAGTATAGTCAAGTCTCTGCCCGAGTTATGTGTATATCACTATGTTGTATAGTCGTTGTTCCAGAGCGCTTCCTCACCATTCTAGATTTTGCATAGTAGCCACCAGCGGCATGTCATTGTAGCTGCAACGGGTATAGGCGATGTATACTTCTAACTTGCTACACCCAGAGCCTGGGACGGGCATGAATGTCAATTTGGATTCTGAATAAGGGGAATTTACCTATCCCAGGCGTCACACATAGCCCTACGCCGACCAGCATGGATCATGTCATTGGTAATCTCATTGATGCCTCCTCATTCCTTTGCGTCCAGGATCATACAAGTTTGCCTAGCTGCTTATTCGCTCAATACACGGATGAAGTTTTTCCTGCCCTGTAATGATCTCCAGGATGGGTGTTTCAAGGGATCCTGAAACAACGCCCTCGAGAACTAGACATTATCGACCCACCAACCAATCCTTCAGTTTGGACGTTCTCGATGTTAATATAAGCGGCTCACCCGCACGCCATTGCGTTCGATGCGTGATCCATCTGGTCAGCATATTTGGTCATTTTTGATCCGTCCCTTCTTTACCCCTACATTCTTTCGAAAGCCACCACCACCGTATCAATATATTGGAAGTTGAGCCTTTGTTATTCCCTTCCTACATCCGCCACGACCAATTCGGGGCCAGTTAGACAAGATAATGCATATTCGCGGATCTTCCATTTACTTCGCCGTTGTTGGTCTTTCATCCACAACTGCCGTTCTTGCCGCCGTACAACCCTACGGTCAATGCGGTGGTTCGACGCACACAGGCGAGACAACTTGCGCTAATGGCTGGACCTGTACCAAGTACAACGATTACTACAGTCAATGTGTTGCTGGCCAGGAAGCCGGAAATCCTTCTACATCGACTGTTGGCAATACTACCCTCGCTAATGAGCCCACCCCGGTACCAGAACCACCGATCAATGGGACCAGTGTTCTTATTGAACCCTCTGCTGCTCCTCCAACTTCTGGAAATGCGTCTGTACCCTTTATTAATTCGACGACACTCGCTACGGCTGTGGCGACCACCTCTACTGCTGTGATTTCGTCACCGGTCGCCAGCGTGGCGCCGATTTCCAGCTCCATTCCCAACAATGGAAGTGGTGGAACAGACTGTTCTCTTGATGCTTTGTTCAAGGCACATGGCAAGAAGTATATGGGTGTGGCCACCGACCGTGGGGTCCTTGCCAAGGGAGACACTAAACAGATTGTCATAGACAACTTTGGCCAGGTCACGCCTGAGAATAGGTATGTCGAATTTCTTGACTAATCCGTGAAGCTCATGTCATGGACCATTATGCAATGTACTAATATAATGAACGACGCTAGCATGAAGTGGGATGCTACAGAAAATGTGCAAAACACATTCACCCTATCTGGTGCCGACGCTCTCGTGTCCTTTGCCACAACAAACTCTAAGCTGATTCGTGGCCACACTACAGTCTGGCACTCTCAACTCCCGAACTGGGTGTCCTCCATTTCCGATAAGACGACCCTGCAAGAAGTAATGGTGTCTCACATACAGAAGCTCATGGGTCAATACAAGGGCAAAGTCTACGCCTGGGACGTCGTGAATGAGATTTTCAACGAAGATGGCTCTTTTCGTAGCTCGGTTTTCTACAATGTTCTGGGAGAGGACTTCGTCGCCCTCGCCTTCAACACGGCCCGTGCCGCCGATCCAAACGCAAAGCTCTACATCAACGACTACAACCTAGATTCCCCATCTTACGCAAAGACAAAAGCTATGGCGCGCAAAGTGAAGGAATGGGTTGCAGCAGGCGTCCCCATTGACGGTATTGGCTCCCAGGCTCATCTTGCCAATAGTTGGCCAATTGCAGATTTTCCCGCCGCATTACAGAGTCTGTGCCAAGTAGTGGATGAATGCGCGATTACCGAGCTAGACATCAAGGGTGCTGCAGCTAGTGATTATCAGACCGCTGTGACTGCGTGTCTGGACGTGGAAAATTGTGTGGGCGTTACGGTTTGGGGAGTTGCTGATCCGGACTCGTGGAGGGCGAAAGATACACCGTTGTTGTTTGATGGTAGTTACAAAGCGAAGGCGGCGTACACTGGGCTTTGCGATGCTCTTAAATAGAATAGCACTGTCAGAAGTAAAGATTGGGCAAGGAGGTTGCGACTGTTTCCATTGTACATTTTCAGCTTTCCAATTGAATATTCGAGTATTGAGTATCCACTGGGTTTTCGAGCATATATAGCTATGAATGTGAGACTTCCAACTGACGGCGATGCTTGTGGGCTTTTCATGGTTCAGTGTGCTACTGCTCCAGCATAGGCTCAATGTGTCAACGGGATCCATGGACTGAATTAACAAACTTCGCCACCGTTATATCCGGACTAAGTATCATCGACATTCACCAAAGGTCAAATTAGCTTGAAATTAGTTGGTAGTTACCATTCCATTCTTCCCTAACATGTAGAATTGTGGTCACTATACTATGATAGCTTGAAAGCAGTCTATGAGTTGTAGACGTGGATGACATGAGGATTGCAGTAGGCCAGCACACCAGTATTACCCCACTCGCCACCAATACCTGATTCCTTTTGTCCGCCAAAGTAAGCCTGAGGTATCAGCTTTTCAAAGGAATTGACGAATACAGAGCCAGCTTCTAGTCGTCGTGCAACCTTCGCCGCCTTCTCAACGTCCTTGCCCCATACACATGCAGCAAGACCAGCCCTAGTGTTATTTGCGCGTGCGATGACCTCATCGAGATCAGACCACGGCTGCGTAGGTACAATCGGACCAAATGGCTCTTCTTGTACGATGCGGGAATCGTTGGGCGGGTTGTCGATGATGGTGGGCTGGATGAAGTAACCCTCTGATGCTAGAACGTCTGGCTCACCGACGGCAAATTTGTAGCCCTTTGCCTTGCTATCCACGAAAAATTCCTTGACGCGCTCGTATTGCATTTGGTTCTGCACGGGCCCTAGCATATTGTCACCGTCGTGCGGGTTGCCAACTTTGAATGTCTTTGTGACGTTGACCATCTCTTGGACAAACTCCTGGTAGATAGACTCGTGGATGTAGATGCGCTTGGTCGCTACGCACACTTGTCCACTGTTCTGGAATGCACCCATAACCACCTCGGGGGCGACTTTCTTGATGTCCACGTCGGGAAGGATGATGGAAGCGTCGTTACCTCCAAGCTCGAGGGTGACGCGCTTTAGCGTCTTTGCCGCAGTTTCCATCACCTTCTTTCCAGTAGCGGTCGAACCAGTGAAGGAAATTTTAGAAATGTCTGGATGTTTGCACATGGACACTCCCAGGTCGTTATTACCACCGACTACCTGAAGGACACCAGGAGGAAGGACCTCTTGTGCGAGCTCAGCAAACTTGAGAGCGGTGTAGGGAGTGAAAGGTGACGGCTTGACGATGATACAATTACCGGTCAATAAAGCAGGCGCAATCTTTCCACAGGAAAGAATGAGAGGGAAGTTCCACGGGCAGATAGCTAGAACAGAATTAGTACCATGACGGCTCTAGACAGATAGATCACATACCTCCACAAACACCAAGCGGCATGTATTCTGTGTAAACCGTCTTCTCGTTATCCTCAAAGGTTTCACTGGGTATTTGAAGTGAAATATGGTGGTTGAAGAATCCTACGACGCCACCGACTTCAAGGGCTGCGAATTTTCTCTGCATTTAGGTATGAGCAAGTCTGCGAGTATTCTCGGAAAGTGAAGCCTACCGGCCTGCCCAACTCGGCGCAGAGCAGATTGGTGAACTCGTCAGTGTAATCACTGTAAAGCTCAGCGAGCTTGCCCATGGCTTGCTTGCGCTTCTCAATACCGGCATCCCGCCAGGCGGGGAAGGCTTTCTTCGCAGCCTCGACAGCGTCGTCTAGGTCTTTTTCGCTCGCAACTGGCACGCCCCAGAGCTCCTTGCCAGTTGAAGGGTTGACGCCATGGTGAGTCTGATCCGAGCCACGCTGCTTGCCATCGATGATGTTGTAGAATTTCTCGAAATCAAGGTTGGCGACTTTTGCGGGAGACATGATAATTTGTGGCGTGTTGCGTATGAATGGTCGGGTCAGGTATTCAAGAATGCATTAAGCAGTATCAAACAGGTTATCAGTCCTGTCAAGGGAGTCCTAGACATATTTATCTTGTTGCCGCTTATAATGCACCGATATGCGCGGTCTAACGTCTGTTATCCTCGGTACAAGCACCAGGCCAAAACGTGATGGTTAACCTAGTCTGGCTACGTTGGACTTGGCTACGGTACCGGTAATCCCCATCAATTGCCCCACCTTGGAGATGTTGCATGCAAAGAGTACGGTAGCATATTGGCCTAGAGTAGCCACCTTCAAGAGGCTGTAGAGGTGTCTTGCTAATATAGATGTCGTAGGCTAGTGTTACAACCTTGAGTCAGAACACTGTGACTGACACAACACGCCGCGTCCACGATACCAAGGCAGAAGGCTGGAAGGACGCCCTGCCGCCCCTGCGAGCTACCAGTGCCGTAGTGGTTGCGAGGCAGTCACGTGACTGATTACGACGCCCAAGGACTATTGCTAGTAGCAATCACGACTTTCACGCTGAGCGACAGCCGTGCTTACAACCATCGTGATCCGTGACTGATTCAGAGCCTATACCTAGAGGTACTAGGCCCTGCTCTAGCTACAGTACATCCACCTACCGGTACTGCTCCAGCCGCAGCCACCAAAGGTCATAGACCACAGAACATTCATTAGGGCTTCTGACTTCAGGCTCTCACAAGCGGATCAACATCCGCATCCCGTCAACTTTCTCCCAAGCCAGCACCAGGCATAGCTGCGGCAGAAGGCGATTGTAATCAAGTAGGAATTGATGAACGAGTATTATAATGTTGTTTATCATTTGTAGCTTGTCAGTATTGTCACGCAACGCAGCTTATCATGTCCATGGACACGGTATGCAACTATCTGCACATGCAGCCTCAGCTTACCCCCCTTCTACATCCATCTAGGATTATTTACCCGATGTACATAGTAAGCATCAGCCCTCTCTACCAAGTTCCCCGCTATACGGGAGCAGTCTTAAGCTCTGGCTTCGCCGTCACTAACAAGAATGTCATTACCCATCAATAATGGCAGAGGAAGGCCTTCTTGTATACCAAGTCCTAGATCCACCAGGAAATGCCATCAGACTCCTCAATTTGCTGCCCGGACAATTCTCAGATGACGTCTACATCTCCATCATCCACGAAAGGCTCCAAGACGAACCTCGCACACCCTATGAATGCCTCTCGTACACATGGGGCTCCGCAACGCAAGCCCACCAGAAGCTGTACATTTGGCAGAAGCACACCACCGCCGGCGGCGAAAGGCTTAGCCTGCAGTATCTCAACGTCCGCACTAACCTCATGACCGCACTGCAACATCTACGCCACCATGATCTCCCGCGAGTGCTCTGGATCGACGCCGTATGTATCGACCAGACGAATCTCACCGAAAAGGGCCAGGAAGTAGCCCGCATGGGACAGATTTACAATAAAGCTTCGCGCGTCGTAGTCTGGCTCGGCCCAGAAGACGAAAGTACGCCGTTGGCTCTGGACATCATCCAGCGAATAAGTACAGGTGTCGAGTTGACGTGGGATCACCGGGGCATTAACCGCACGCTTCCCGGGAGCGAGGCGCAGGTCCTGGAGCAGCGGCCCGAGGACTCGGCACTGAGTCCGGAGCACTGGATGGCGTTGAGTAGGTTTCTGCGCAGACCATGGTTTAGTAGACTGTGGATTAGGCAGGAGGTGCAGTTGGCGTCGGAGGTGCGGGTTCTGTGTGGTAAGAAGGAGGTGGATTGGGGAAGTTTGGAGAAGATGAGTGTGTTTGTGGAACATAAGATGGATAGGAAATATATCGGCGTTCAGGAAATTTTGTTCTGTCGCTCGTTGTTTAGGTACTTGGGGTCGGATAGGTACGCAAGTCCGCGTTCTCTACCACAGAAGTACACAGTACACGTTACGGTATTGACGCTGATGACGAAAATCCATTTCCATATGCTAACGTCATCTCTTCCACACCAACAGTTTAATATACACCCTCCACCGCTCAAGTCTCTGCAACTACTTTGACTCCCGCGACCTCATCTACGCCAACCTCTCCACCTCGACCGCCATGTCCGCCCTGCACATCGCGCCAGATTACTCTCTCACTCCCGCCCAAGTCTACAAAGATATGACACTACGCTATATCGCCCGCTTCCAGACCCTCGACCTCTTCCGCTCATGTGACTTCGAAACCTGTCCACCAGGTTTTAATTCGTTTGTCCCGGACTACGCGAGCCCGAAATCAGAATCGCGATTGTTTGCTGTGCATGCGCATGCTGGGTCCCAGCAGTCGTATGTGGGTACGGGGGATGGAGGTATAGTTGTGAGAGGAGTGGATGTGGATGGTGTATGTAAAGTGTCACCTGCACGCAAACCCCTGGCTGTGCGCACGCATGAAGACGACAATCACGCAGACATAATCGCTACGTATCGCACGTGGGAGCCACCCGGACTCATGGAGTCTCTGTATCCGCTCGGTGGAACTCTCCTCGACGCTTTCGTCCTACTCCTCTCCAACGGCTTTTGCAAGGATGCGTATTACGATGGTCACCTACCCACGTTCGCAGAATCCCGCGACACATTTATAGCGTGCGTATGGTCCAGCGGCGATGCGGAGTTGTGCACGGAACCTAATCATAGAGCGTACATCAAGGAACTTACTAGTGATCGGCGGGGAGAAGTGTTTTTCACGACAGAGAAAGGGTATTTAGGTGTGTCTCCTGCGAGTGTCAAGGCTGGTGATGCTGTCGCCGTACTGGCGGGCGCGAGTGTGCCAATTGTACTGCGGCCGCAACACACCTTGGACAGCAGAAAGTACCAGATCGTAGGTCCATGTTACATCCAGGGTCTGATGCTCGGGGAGGGCTTACTCGGTCCGCTGCCACCGGGCTGGATGGGCGTGATGCACGAGACTCGCAAATGGTGTTTCCAGACTACAGATAGTGTGCTTAGGACATGGGAGGATCCGCGGCTGTGGAGTTTGCCGGGGCATTGGCAAGCGCATTTCTGCGATATCCAAAATACAGTGGAGAGTTGTCAGGGAGGCTGCGAGATTAAATATGTGAGGGGTGCGAGGTTGGCGGATCGTTGGTTTTTAGATATGAGGTCAGGGGAGAGAAGGAGAGAGGATCCGAGGTTGACTATAGAAGGGTTAGAGGAGGGTGGACTTGTGCTAGAAGCTTTTGAGCTAGTGTAAGACTTTTGTCCACCTGCTCAAGATCACATTCTGGCATGGCAACCTCATGGAGCGTCATTTCCACCCAGATGTAGCGTATATGCAATTACTGGGCCTCAGCACCGTGGTTTCTGGCTGGTTGATGATCGAGTGTACCGGTATGGCTCCTCTGGCAGGGCATGGTATGGTGACTTGGACGGTACCGGTAAAATAGAGCCAGGTACCCAGTACTTACCTCTTCTCGTAGTAGAATACAGTATAACACGTACGACCAGACGCCATGCGTTATGGAAACGGCAAATTTAACACAAGCTTTACGATAGTGAAGCTTTTCACGTTTATCCTAATCTTTCTCATTACTTCAGTCAGGTATCATGTGTGGTGGAACTTTTGAATTGTCACCTATCTAACACTGTCTATCTAAGCTAAAGATGCGCGCTGTAATCTGAACAAGTCCTCCAAAAAGAAAGTGTCAGATGCCAATTAAACAATATTGATGCGATGTCGACGAACAACTACGCTGCAATTATACGATATACTAAGGAATGTACGCTCCCTAATGAACCGAGGGGGACATGAGCTCATAAAGTTCATAAGGCAAGAATGCCACTCAGACGCCTAGGAAGCCGTAAGCCGGAATCGGCCATTTGAACATTTCACCACACCAGTCCATACAGGATCGGTAGAGTGTAGCTAGTAGTGCGTAGCCACATAGCCTGTAGGGCTAGGTGTAGGCTTAGGGGAAGAGGCAGGGTATTCCGGGTAGCTGGGAACTTCTTTCGAAGAAGAGGAAGCGACGGGGTACTCGGGGTACGAAGGAATAGACTTGGAAGCAGAGGGAGAGGGTGTCACTGCTGGGTAACCCATGGTGCTTGAGGGGCTGGGGGTGTGCACTGGATAGCCAACCGAAGATGAAGAAACCTTGCTGGTGGGGTAGGGAGCCGGGGAAGAAGCAACGTAGCCAGGGATTGAGTGCCCAACGGAAGCAGAGTGAGAAGGCTTAGGTGCATCTGAGTGCTTGGATGGCTTAGGAGCCTCGGGGTACTCGGAAGCCTCGGGTGTCTCGTGGTGGGCCGTAGTGGTGGGCTTTGGGCTCTCAGGGTACACATCTGTCGGTTTGGGGCCAGCAGGAGGAGCAACAACTGTTGTCTGGGGCTTGCCTCCCTCAGTGTAGGTCACGGTGACAGGCGCCTGGTGGTAGACAGTGACGGTTGTTGTGACTGGTGCAGGGCAGTTGTCAGGAACGGGAGCAACAGGCGAGTGGGGCTTAGGTGTCTCTGCAGGGTAGACTGGCTTGTCACTGGTCGGCGCTGGAGGAGCTGGCTTGGCGGTTGTAGGAGCTGGGCCATGGGGGTAGACAGTGGTATAAATAGTGGTGTACGTCGAAGCCGTGAGGTAAGTGGAGTAGTACGTCGTCTTATCGTTGTGTCCTACAGATGTGCTGCATGGTACCCAAGAATACATGGTGCTGGTGATAGTCTTGGTAACATCATGGGGGTATTCGACCGACTTGGTTGGGTGAGGCTGATGAGGATAGCCAGTACCGTGGGGAAGGCTCTTGGAGCTAGGAGTTGGATAGGCGGGATGCCCAGGGGTTTTGCTCGAAGCAGGGTACTGTGGGACGTGGCTTGAAGCTGGGTATTCAGGCACATGGCTTGAAGCTGGGTAGTCAGGCACATGGCTTGAAGCTGGGTAATCGGGGACGTGGCTTGAAGCTGGGTAGTCGGGGACGTGGCTCGAGGCTGGGTAATCGGGGACATGGCTCGAAGCTGGGTAGTCGGGGACGTGGCTCGAGGCTGGGTAATCGGGGACATGGCTCGAGGCTGGGTAATCGGGGACATGGCTCGAAGCTGGGTAGTCGGGGACATGGCTTGAAGCTGGGTAGTCGGGGACATGGCTTGAAGCTGGGTAGTCGGGGACGTGGCTTGAAGCTGGGTAGTCAGGCACATGGCTTGAAGCTGGGTAGTCGGGGACGTGGCTTGAAGCTGGGTAGTCGGGGACGTGGCTCGAGGCTGGGTAGTCGGGGACGTGGCTCGAGGCTGGGTAATCGGGGACGTGGCTCGAAGCTGGGTAGTCGGGGACGTGGCTCGAGGCTGGGTAATCGGGGACATGGCTCGAGGCTGGGTAGTCGGGGACGTGGCTCGAGGCTGGGTACTCAGACTGCACTGCGACTGGATAGTAAGGAGCAGCGGATACTGAGCCCACGATGGCTGCGGCGACGAAAGAGTACTTCATGTTGCTTTTTGTAGCTGGCAACTCTGAGTGAGGGGTTTGGAGGATTTGTGATTAAGTGGGAGTCGTGCTTTTGATGTAGCACACAAACGAATGTTGGCTGTTAACTAATTAGTTGGAAGCGAGAGTTGATAAGAAACTTTTCGAGTTGATGAACAGATGTAGGCTGGAAACATACGATTTTTATATACTCATCACGCCAGCCACTTGCTTCAACGATGACTGACGTGTGAGCGACCATGTTCTGCTCAATACGAACAGACACTCCCGATGCTGCCATGTGAAGTGATCCACCCGTACGAGATGCCATTCTGGGATACGGATTGTCGATAGCGTATGCGACCCAGATTAGCAACCCCGGCCCACGCCACATTATTGCGAGATGCACAACACAGCCCTATGGATTCTTAGCGATGGCGAGCAACAGGGGTTTGTGGATGGGCGAGACTAAATTTAGACGTGCAAAGGTCCCATCACACTATCTCATCCAAGTATGATCATATAGGTTACGAACTCCGTGTCCACTGGATGGCGTCATCTCCACTGGCACAATGCAACAGGTGGTTGGGAGTTTCTCGAAAATAAGCTTTCATTCTCTCATCATCTCGTAGCACATACCGGTAAGCCGCTCGTCGGAAGTTTGGCATCGCGCACGCTTGCTCGGTCCAATCTCGGTCCAACGGCAACGATACGGCATCACTCACAGAACTTGTTTTTGCCCAATCACAAGTATCGTATGGTACCGTCAGGTGAGTAGGCGAACAGGGCAGCTCATGTTGTACAAGGCAGACAGTACCATGGCACCTCGGCCCGTGGGTTGTGCCTCCGGAGGTTATACCTTCTGTGGGTAGAATTCCATCTTAAATCCAAATATGTGCAATGATAATAGCAAGGCCTTTTTTTTATTGGTCACTCAGCCACTTCAAGTACGCCGCTCCGATAGTGGCATGGTTAGACAGGCTACTCAACGCCACCCATGCTGACATGCATCTGGAAGAGCGCAGTCTGCTATGGTAATCTACCTAGCAGCTCCCCACGTGCAAGTCCAGGCAGAAAGGAGGCAATTATCATCCTATGCGCCACCTCGTATAGGTATCAGTCAATAGGTAGAGCGTTTTGCCTGATGGATGATCTCGATTCCGTGCATTGCACCAAGAGCTCACGATACACTCGGTCCCAAGCCAGCTCTAGTCAATGAATACTCATACCAGGGAAGTCTTCATGTTGTTATACTTTACTGTTGAATGTGAACATTAGGGGCCCACAGATGTACGGTACGTAGGCAAGTACCAGTAATCCCATGTGACTGGACCTCTTTCCCACCTCGGCTGCCTGGCGCTCCTTGGCGATACGATTCGGAGACGCTTTCCGGCTAAAGTCCGCTCTCGTATGACAGCCTATGCATCCCATTACTGCGCACCTGCTTTCCTTGGCTAAAGCTTGGAGGTCTTAAGCTTTCTACTAACACAGAAGTTGTACATGGAGTTGCTAGGTCAAGCGAAATTCAAAATTTCCAGTCCTGCGTTTCCCGGTGGTCTTATCAGGCCTATGGGAAAATAGCTGGCCTGCTATGTTCCGGTCAAAAATAGTCGTATCAAACCTGTAAGGATGGTATAGCATATTGAAGGTAATCATGTTTTTTCTCACTTCAGGGCGCGATTTCGTCTTTGCTTTGGCTTACCAGGTAAAGCTGAAACATGTGACCCTAGATAACAAGTCAAGGAAGGTGAGACATTTACCCATAATACTTACGTCAAGAAGTCGAAAGGTTTCTTCATCTTTCTGCCCTACTCAGGCCGTAACCCTACTTTCATTACCGTATCCTAGTACTCCCTTACCCCAGTCCGCTCTACTTACTAACCTACTTACAAACCCGATACGATGTACAACACACAACGCCAAGTATTGATATCTTCCATAGGCGGCTGATGTGTTCAAGACTATACCTAATTAGTATCAAGGGCGCGAGCAAAGAGGCGTTTGTGGCCAGGGCAATTAGCACTGCGTGCTTGTTTGACTAATCTGTTGAGGGTGGGGTTCTCGGCATCATATCACGAAAATACGAAGACTGACACAAGCGATCTGGGAATAGGCGATTGTACTTTGAGCGCACACGAGTGGATCTGAGAGTCTGCTTTGCACGTCATCCGCTAAGTCTGCCTGAACTTTCTTTTTTGCATCCCACGTTCTATACTCGTCATTCAATACTTTCCATTCTCTCCTCGGCTATCTGTTTTGTCTTGAGTGAGAGCTGGTACACTATCAACAAGATCAGATAACTAGCACGCACGGCGTACACGAGAAAGTACATGCTCATCCACTGCATTGTTCAGAGTGTCAAACAATGTTTCCAGTCTACGCAATCATTATACGAGATGCCATCCAAGAACAGTAGCGTCTATGCGACATGATGAAGCCACGCCGCATAGTTGGGAGAACGATATACCGAATATTTAGTCAGGATTTCCAAACTCATGAAAAGGCCCTGTATCCAGCCAATACGACTGATTCCTCGCTATCCACTTCGCAGGGCTCGGTCGTCTGGAACCCCGGCCCACTTCGTGTTGAGCTCCACATGCCCAGAGCGATCAAGACCAACAATTGATCTGACACCAGCATGAGCTTCGGATTGAAGGCATGCCAGTTTTGTTCTAGAACATGCTTGAAGCTACTGCTAAATCGGATACAGCCTCAACACTCTGTCAACCTCGATGATCGTAGCAATCCGACATGATGATTCCATTTTATACGGTTCACCTAGTGTACCGGTATCAGGGAACCAGAAATATATGAAGGGCTTAGGCAATTTCGAAGCCTAAACTAAGCTAACACTAATACAAATGTCAGGGCCCGGGCCTCAGTGAGGCGGGACTTGTGGATTATGTGATACTAGGTCCATATAAATACCTAGGAAAATCGATACAGGAGGTATCGATTTGTTTGAAATGCACTCGACACGTATTGTCCACTCTATCTCAAGAAACTCTATCATTCCCTGTGAAGTCTTACAACAAACCCTAAGTAAGCTCACTACACACTTATAGAATAAGTGAGACAAAAGGCGCAGGCAACTAAAGCAACAAGACACCTTGAATGAAAAAGCTCTTTAAATTTTAACGGTAGAAAAGCTGTCTTTCCTAGTATCAGAGATGTCAACAATCAAGCCAATCAAGCTGGGTACCCCAGCTTGGATTGGCTTGATAAGGTAAAATCGGGCGACTTGATTGGCTTGATTGATGAGCTTGATGGTTATAGCGTTTTTAAGGCTGTACAAATAGGTAGTATTAGCTATATTGTAACTATTCTTAGTATTAAGTTTTTTTTTAATAGTATTTAAATTATAGTAGTAGTAGTTTTATTTTAAGCCCTATATATATATATATATAGCGTTGTTATAGGATTTTTTTTGTATTATTACTTAACTCTTAACACTAGAAAATTATTGTGGCCTTGCTACTACTGCAAACCTAGCAGCCTTATAATACTAATTAAGCTTGTTAAGCTTATTAATTAAGCTAACTTTACGCAGCTTAATTAATTGTTAATTACTAAACCTTAGCTTGGCTTGCTTGAATATACAGCTTGACGCGCTTGATTGTTGACAAGTCTGCCTAGTATGGACGAGTCACGAGTCCTTACAGGAGGTGAGCTTAACTTAGAGCCTGGAGGCAAGCATAGCCTTACTTATCTTATTCAATAGAAAATTGAAAGTAAGGAAGAATATTTTAATCTAAGTAGGTGTTGAAGTTCCAAAATTTGGTTGGTTGGTTGGTTGGTTGGTATTGATCTTCGTCCGTAAGTTACAAATTTGAAACGACCAAAGGCTTTATTAGCAAATGTTATCCTGGTCTCTAGATTCGTAGTAGCGAGAGGAGTAGAGATATATAGGGAAAGCCTAGGGAAAGATAAAGGAAAATGAAATCAAACTTTATCTTGGTTCTTGAATTTGTGCATGCGTATTGCTCAAAAAGTAATTCCATCTCTGGGGCAGAATTTGGCTTTTATTGTTCCACATGGATATTTATTACACTAAAATTGTATGGTTTATGACGAATCGCAACTGAACATTGTTGGAGACAAATGTTCCAAACAAAGCCAACTATTACTTCTGACCGCAAACAAGTGCCCAGGATTAAACTTGTGGATCATGCTCAATTGTCATGGCGTTGCTTAAATAGGATACCTGAATCCCTTCTGGAGTTGCCTAGCCTGTGCAATGGAAATTCCTTCTGTATCCGCCGTACGTTGCAGCCTGGCGAGTTCTTTCTCTGACAGACTCATATTCTCATTCTCCAGTGCGGCCAATTTCGAATTCTCCCGGATAAGGATGAACCGGAGCAAAATGAGCAGGCATGCTGCCACGGTCATAAGACCAATGCAGATACCAATACCCGTGTAGAAATGAGGCCTTTCATTGTCGAGATAGGTGTACGGCGTCCAGATAGTAACAGAATTGCCCAGAGAGTTGATGAGAGCATATGCTGCAGCTCGCTTGGCTGGCGGACGGGTCAGGACGCCCGAGATCCATGAGAAAATTGTTCCATTCATCGTCATGAGGAACATCATAAGGAAGAATGAGAAGTATTTTGGGCCGAAAGAAGTAGACGTCATAAAGAGGATGAATCCAGTGATTGCGGGAACGATCGGGTAGATGGCAAACCAGAACCGGGTCTCGAATCTGTCACTGACGATTCCATGACAGTAACTCCAGATAGTCATGAAAACATGAGGCGGTGCTACTAGCAGTAGAGATATGAAACTGTTGTATCCTAATGAGCGAGCCAGAGTGGGAAAGTAATACCCGAAACCTTGTGCGCCCGTCAAGCACATGTAGATTCCGACAAAAATCCAAGTCTTGAGATCTGTAAGAGCAAGTTTCAGGCCCTTGATCTGCGACATGGCACCTTCTTCGTCGACATCGGCATCAGCGGCTTCAAGAGCAAGACGACGGTTTGCTATGGAGGGTTAGCGGTGGTCACATTCAGGCAGCACAATCGTACTTACCAACATGTTTCTGCTCGGGAGTGAGTCGGCGCCATGTCTGAGGGAAATCAGGTAAGAAGAACACCACCACGATGCCCATTAACACTGTTATTGACCCTTCTATGATATAGAGCCAGCGCCACGCGGCCAGACCCATCTTGCCATCCATTCCATTCAAGATGCCGGCCGCGATGAGGTTGCCGAAAGCGCCGGCAATCAGAGCACCGGAGTAGAATATACTCATGCGCAAGTTCATCTCCTTCTTGGTGTACCACCTCGTCAGGTAGAATAACACGCCAGGAAAGAAGGGTGCCTCTACAAGAATTTATTAGTTACTCGAAGATTGGCTTGAACCTGTGCAAGATATGTTACTTACCGACCACGCCAAGAAAGAAGCGGCATGCCACGATGCCTGCAAAATTCTGCGCTAGTGCTGACATTGCGCTAACGAGACCCCAGGCAATAGTGAAAAACCCCAAATACCAGGAAGGGCGACCAAAGTAATTCAGTAATAGATTCGAAGGTATCTGACCTAGGATATATCCAACGAAGAGAATTGACAGTCCAGTCTGATATTGTTGAAGGCTGAGGCCCAAGTCTTCTTCTAGACCTGCTAGACGAGCAGAGGCATAATTATTGCTGTGACCAGTCAGCACAGACACAATGTATGAGGAGAGAAGACAACATTGACTTACCGGTCGATCCAGTTGAGCAGATAGACAGTCAAAATGATTGGCATGATGATGAAGTCAATCTTCCTCACGAGCTTCTTCTCCACAATTAACTCATCTGGAGTGAGTCGATCGGCGGACGGGTTCTCAACATCCTCCACTTCGTCTAGTTTCTGAAGGTCTTTGTCGGTCAGCTTGACGTCGCCCATGTTTGCTTAGAGAGGTGAGTGAGATGAGGTATGAGATATGGCGACGATCAGTGATGTTGATTCGTGTAGTCACCTGGATGCATTTATTCTTCTTAGCGCCTGTGAGGCATCATCGGCAGATTCGCCGAAAATGCGACTACCTAGGCAATCGACATCTCAAGCTTTCACCCCCAAGCCTTGACTGCAATTCTCCATCAATCGTCAGGTGGGGCCAAGTCTCTGTCTGGGGTCAAAGCCGAGAATCTATTCCAGTTATGGCATAGTGTGTGGAGAAGGGTTGCGGGGCAGCCCTGCACTGAGCTACCGTTGTACAGGTACGGATCATACGTTTTCGGCATTAAGGTCCGATCACTCGGATCCTGAAGTACCGAGTCTATTCCTCGCTCACCTTTTCCGTTTTTTTGTGATCCGCGTTGAACATGTTTCGGTGAGACCGCCGACTGGTGATAATATTAAGGGGTTAAGTTACTTGTGCAATTGATGCAAAGCCCATCATAACGACAGATCATAAGTCCCAATGACGACTCATACGAACTCCGCAGAGGCTTCCATTCATGTGTTCCCAAAGCATCACCTGAATCCGATCGATAGGAAGATCTACTCCGGGTTCACAGAGTACGTATGACCAATGTACTCCTAAATAACTGTAAACTCACACTGTTATAGGCACATGGGAAGGTACATTACACGTGTATAGGCCATTACTTGAACCGTTTCTCACTGAAAACAGATGTATATACGGTGGTATCTACGACCCTGACAATCCAAATAAGGACATCATTACCGCCAAGGGGTTTCGAAAGGACGTTATTAACGCCCTTAAACCTCTCAACATCCCTGTCTTTCGTTACCCAGGCGGCAACTTTTGCGCAACATATCACTGGGAAGATGGCGTAGGACCTCGTGAGAAAAGGCGAAAGCGCCCCGATCTCGCGTGGGGAGCAGTTGAACCTAATTCCTTTGGTACAGATGAGTTCATGGAGTGGTGTGACGAACTTGGTGCTGAGCCGTACCTTTGTCTGAACTTCGGTACTGGTACATTAGACGAAGCAATGGCCTGGGTCGAGTATTGCAATGGTGTTGAAGACACACATTATGCCAACTTGCGTCGCCAGAATGGACACCCTGAACCCTATAATGTGAAGTACTGGGCGCTAGGCAATGAATGCTGGGGAGACTGGCAGGTACATGCTCCCCCCATTAGTTTCGTGCATGACACCAATAACCTTTTCACAGGTGGAGCAAATGACGGATCAAGCGTACGCCGAAAGGGCGCTACAGTGGGCAAAAGCTTTGAAGTATCTCGACCCCAACATCGAACTGATCCTCTGCGGCCGCGAAGGTCCAACGAAGTGGGACTACACTGTCCTCAAGCATTGCGTCCGCGCCCGAGGAAAGGACCCCATTGGCCAGCCTCGCGCAGCTCTCATAGACATGCACAGCATTCATCTTTACACGGCGGCTGAAAACCACTATGAGAATGTCTACGCCCCACTTACAGCCGAACGTGCCATTGAAGTCGCATCCGCTCTGATCGACCTAACATACTATGAGGACAAGATACCAGCCACGCAAAAGCGACCCAAGATCTGTTTCGACGAATGGAATGTTTGGTGGTCTAAACGTGCGCCGGGATGGCTGGGCGCGGAAGAAAGATATACCCTGAGTGATGCCTTAGCTGTTGCTGTCTGGCTCAATGTCTTCGTTCGCAAAAGCGCAGATGTGGAAATGGCAAATATCGCTCAAAGTGTGAATGTCATTTCACCACTGATGACTACTGAAACCGGCATTGTCAAACAAACCTCTTGGTATCCCTACGAGCTCTTTTGTCGGTACATGTCTGGTTCACTTATCGCGGTGCACCTTGCCTGCGAAGAATACGATGGGCCAACGAAAGTCGAGTTTACGCGCGCGACAAAGAAGACACCTTGGCTAGATGTCAGTGCAACGTCTGATGGCGAGTGGGTTAATCTAGCGGTTGTCAACGTTCACCAGGACAGAGATTTTGCAACAAGCGTTGAAGGTGTAAAGGGGGAAGTTACTGTCTTTACTGTAACCGGTGAAAACGTAGATGTAACAAACATGGATGGGGGAAAGGAGCAGGTGGGAATCACGCAGAGTACGTGGACTGGCAGTGGAAAGTTCACTTTCAAAAAGCACAGTTTTACACTGCTACGATGGAGAGTCTAGTGAAAAATGTCCCTTCATGGGCGCACTTGGAATAAATAGACCAATATACGTGTACATTCGACACATTTGCGTTCGACTTCGATGACCAGGAAGTCCGAGAAGCTTTTTATCAGGCGGTTGTTATCCCGCTACAGGAGGACTGCAGGCATGTGTAGTAACACGACGCCATGTTTGTAAATGTTCCTTTATTCTAGATGAACGCTGCCGAAGCAAGTATTACATCTCGACCGCGGAGTCAGTGCTAGATAGAATAGGAATCCTCTTGCCAATATTATCTCATACTTACGGTCGTGTGTCATTCTCTGACATCGTTTCCCTGTTGTTGTTGGCTTGAATCGGGATTCGTTTACGCTACCATCTCCTCAACGTCGGCGCATTGTGGGCGATCTTGAGGTTTCCGACGGTCAACATGTTTAGTAGGTAAGCGACTCAAAGTTGAGTCATTCCAACAAGTGCAAACGCCGGCTTTAATTGTGAGTGGTTCTCTGACTCTTGCTGACATAGCAGAACGGAGCAACGTTACTGCGAGCAGAGTTGACCTGGTGCGCCTTTCGCTTAACTACTCACTAGTAGCACGCCCTACGATGGCCAGATTAGGCTATTGCATGTCTTCCGGTAGTAGTACCGGTATGCTCTCGCAACTTGTCAGGTCTACCCTGATGGACTGATGAGTCTTGCACGAATACATCCTGTGTACTCACAGCGACACCCACATCCAGCAGTTTTGCACGTTGGTTAAACCAACGGCCATCAAACCCTGCAGTCCGTGCAGCATCGGATGCCGCCGAAGCTATGCACGATTGTTGAAGCTTGAGTTGTAGCAAGCCTACCATTTCTCAGTGTCCATTAAGATTTCTGCAAAAAAAAAACCCCCCCCAATAACCACATGTGTCCACCCGCCTGTTATTGACCCGAACTTACAGCCTCTGGCTGGCTAGTCAATAATGAGAATTCTTCTTCGCTCACGGAAATAGGGGAAATGTGTTATGCCTCAAAAGTCAAACTTCGAAACACAGAGCCTTCACACGCTTGGCGCGTGAGCAACGGCTCGTCATGCGAGTGCGTTCGCCATGCCTAGAGACTGAGGCCTTCGCAGGGCATGGTGCTAGAGTGGTAGTCTTATAGTATATATGCAGCCACATGGTTGATCCAGGCCTAGTGCAGGGCAGTCGAGGACAAAGGGCGTGCCAATACATGTAGAAAGTTACACCTGCACAAGTAGGTAGCGCCCCGCATCCCGATTAGCCATGCCAAGAGTCATCGAAGTCGTATCTCCATTGTGCACACTCACCGTGCAGCATCTACCATCCCGAGGTCATCATCGTCCTGCTGTATATGACTCAGTTGATGCGAACACAGCTGGGAGACATAAGATCGCTCAGCCCAGGTGCTGCTTGTCTCCATACCTATACAGTGTTTCCTAGCCCGCAAAGACGGCTGTCCAGCACGTGACATTGTAGCCAATATCGGCTACTACTTCCCCGCCTCCGCTTTCCACCACTCTGCACTGGAGCAGATTTACCACTTTCCTGGGTCAGATTCTCTTTCACTTGTGGTGTGTCTACAAAGCACCATAGGATATGCCTTGCAACACGTCTTCCAGCACCTCTGTGCTTTCCCAATCCAGCACCATGCGGCAAATGGGAAATCAGATTGGATACAAGGTTCGGAACCTCGCTCACTATGGCCAGCCGACCATTGCGATTGATTTGGTTGATAGCCATGGTCCCCGCAGAGTCATTCCCAGCTATTCGACCATGGACGCCATTCAGGGAATAGTTACCATAACCGCGCCGCACGACATACGCTTTGAAGACATTGACATTGCGTTTGTAGGTAAGTGTAGAGCTTTTTCGGGTCATGTGACGAGCCATTATGGAGCTGATTCCACATTTAGGTACCAGCCAGGCATTTGTGGATAGGGTGACTACCGCACCCATGGTATCAGGACGTGGCGACGCGCAGCACAGATTCCTTGTCTTGAGGCAACCGATTGCAGATTCTGACTTTCCATCGCCAAGGATCTTCGAGCGGGACCGAGCATACAAGTTTCCATTTACCTTCATAATACCATCGCAACTACTTCCAAGAGCTTGCTCGCACAAAGTGGTTTCAGATCATGTCCACGACGTGCATTGCCTGTTGCCACCAAGTCTAGGGGACCCGGATCTTGCTGGCTTCGGAGGCTCCTTGCTTGACGACCTCGCCCCAGAAATGTCAAAGATTGTGTATGCTGTCAAAGTCAGAATCGCTCACACGCGAGGATCAGAGGGACTGATGGTGTTAGCTGAAAAGATGAAGAAAATTCGGGTCAAGCCGGCTCTTGCAGAGCAGCCACCACTCAATATTGATAACAGCCTCGAGTATCGTCCACGAGAGGAAAAGATCATTAGAAAGGGCATCTTCAAAGGAAGGCTTGGGACATTGACAGCCAAAACTGCTCAACCGCGACCGCTCTTCATTCCCGGTGCACGTACAACAGACAATGAACCAATCTCCACCATGTCGAAAATTGTCATCCGCTTTGACCCATCCGAGGATAATCATGGGCCCCCAAAGTTGAGCTCATTGGCCACAAAGATCAAGGTTTCAACCTTCTACGCCTCTGCTGCACGTCAGAGCTTTCCTTCGCAACTGGCTCTCGGTTTCGACCTTTCTCAAGGGCTCTATGCGGAGAGCATCCTCCTTTCTGATCTCTGCATTGCATCTGTCCAGTGGGAAGAGCATGGACCAAACTCTGATCCTATTACGGAAGACTTCATCCGTCGTGATTCTGGCATTTCAGACTGCTCACTTGTTAGCAATGCGGAAAGATGTTTTCCAACTGGCATTTTACCTCCTTCCAAGGACTATCAGCAGGGCAGGTTCTATACCACCGAGATCCTAGTGCCGGTTACATTGCCAATGAACAAAAGCTTCGTTCCGACCTTTCACTCCTGCCTCATCTCCCGGACATACACATTGGGTCTAAAGTTGTCAGTGAATGGTTCAACAATATCCTTGAAGGTTCCAGTACAAATTTGCGCGCAGGGCAGTAAGACTGGTATCGAAAATGCCAGGGCAAGAAGCATAGAGGAAGCTGCGCATCGCGAGTCTACTGACATCTTTTTGCCGCAGAGAATGGTGTCGACGAGGGTGGATGCTCAAGGAAGCAGTGTTGTGGATGCAAGGGATGAATTGCCTCCCGAATACGCGGCTTGGGCGGCTCCGTCGACCCGTTATCGCACATCGGTAGCGGCTGGTGCACGAGTATAGATTGAAGGTGTTTCTCCAAGGGCAAAGGTGGATGGACGGTTCTTTATTTTGCGTTCCCCTCTTTTGAAACACGGACGGCGTTCAAGGTCATGTTTCGTTTCACACTTTTACCTGTCCGCATTCCAAAGCTTCCTAGCTACAGATACCCCTTTGCGCTACTCCGAGTTGCACGTCAGATGGTTTCAAATCATGTTTGAGACAAAATATCAGCTCTTTTTTTACCATCCCTCGCGCTCGACGCCATGTCAATTCTGAAGCAGTGAAGGAAGCCACGCGGAAGGTTGCGCAACCCACGCCGAGCCTCGTAAGACACACGATAATGCCCACGTTCTTTGATCTTGCTTTTGGTGTTGTTTCCCGCCCTTGCTTGACAGTATTTGTGACTTATGACTATCATGGATTCGTGTTTTTTGACATTGTCCCTTACCTCTCTTAGGACGCCACGTCACCTATCACTGTCACTCATCCTCCCATAAGAGAAATATAGATGCCCGCGATCATGAGCTTCTCCGACTTGAGGAGTGGCAATTGCTCAACGCGGAAACTACCTGTCGGGCCATGGGAACGAAACCCTACAAAAGCGAAGCACACCTCTACAGCCTCTCCAAGCAATCAGATCAGCGCCACCTAGGCCTGACTACGGTATGACAATTACTGCCTTTCAAGTCGATAATGCGTCGGTTCTCGAAGCGCTTCCGGACTCCTCGGCCATCTCTTCGCAGCGACACGCCAAGCCGGCAAAATGGAACGCATACATCATATTCGATAACAGATTCGGGGCTTACGAACACCCAAAATAGCGTTGCGACGGATTCGTTACCTGTGGATGCGATTTCAGACGAGCTCGGGATCATGAGTAATCGTATCGA